CAAACGCAAGATTTTCTTTACAATAATAATAAAGTTTTAATTTATAATGGAAAGAAATTTGTATGATAAAAAAACACCAAATTGTGTAATAGTTTATAATGACCCACTTACATGTTCTTAATTACCAGTTCAAAAGCTTATCGAGAGAATTACACTTAATTAAATTAAATCAAATGTCACTTTATTTAAAATACAATTTTTCACATGATAATTTATTGCAATTCAATAAAACCTAATTTATTTATTTTCTATTCATACTTGAATGAATGAAGAATTGTATTTCTCATTAACTACAAATTACATAGTTACAGAGAAAATATATATATATATATATATATATATAAACAATTACATTAAATATTAAAGCATATGCGAACAATACAGACATAAACATTGAATCACAAACTAACCGGGAGGAGAGACCCTCACATTTATAATTTTTATAAATCTACATAGTTTTTCAAGAACAATATAGTTACTAGAGCTCATTAATTCTTGAAATTTATATATATTTGGACAAAAAGTACATTAGTGTGGTGACAACCTCTTTCTTTCTTGATTTAGAGCATTACAAGACATAACATAATGATATTCATTACCGATGTCTCTTGATTCGCAAAGATGGCACACCCTATCATCAACCTCCTGCTACTGTCATAAACGTGTTTGTCATAATTAGATAATTCGATTACGCTAAAATGGACACGAAATTTGACACACCAATGTTTAACCATGCAAGTATTATAATTTGTCAATATAATACTTGCATGGCTTAACCAACAACTCTTGTCAGGTATTGATACCTATTCAATACCATCAACAAAATTATTGATAAAAGTTATAAATATCATTGTTGATGATAAAGAGTGTGTTTGGTTTTATTTTCTTTTTTTTAGGGGGTGGGGTGGGGTTGTGGTTTGTGGTTTTAAGCATCAAATGACTGATTTATGTTTATCTAAACTAATTGTGTACTATATATAAATGGATATCTATTTTGGTTGTTTGTTTGTTATCTATATCAACCACACTTGCATTATAATGCATTTGATAATTAAAATAATAGGTTCTTTATCCACATATTACTTTAAGAACTTAAATTGTTCTCATTATGTTTTTTTTTTATCTCATTGTTTGTATTGTATTATGAAAATTATTGTTGTTGTAATGTTTATGCCCTTTGGGGCCCATAATTGGAAATAAAATCTTCTTCTTCTTCTATAGTTTAACGCTAGATTTAAATGTAAAGTTTGTTTTTTTTGCTTTGAAATTTGTGCATATGCGCATTGCACAGGATCAATTGCACTGTTTTATTGTCCCCCGCGCACGCTTTTGCGGGGGAAATAGAAATACCGGGAGTCCGTCCGTGTGTCCGTCTGTCCGTCCGGTCTTGTTAGCGCTCTCACAGGTACAATTCTTGCCATATTTGTTATAAAACTTATACTATAGGTTAATATCAGCAATATTTCGGACAAGTTCTATAATGGTGGCCGATCGACTTTTTTAAAAAGAGTTATGCCCCTTTGAAATATTAAATTTATGCGGGAAAATGGCCTCGTTAGCGCTCTCACGGGTACAATTATTGCCAGATTTTTAGAAAACTTGTACTACAGGTTAATATCAGCAATATCTCGGAGAAGTTCTATAATGGTGGACGATCGACTTTTGTTAAAGGAGTTATGCCCCTTTGAAATATTAAATTTATGGAAAATGGCCTCGTTAGCACTCTCACGGGTACAATTTTTGCCAGATTTTTATCTTAAAAGAGTTATGCCCCTTGGAAATATTAATTATATCGGAAATCACATATAATTTGCTCTTAAGCATTCATTTCGCTGAGATATTTATGAACAGTTTTAAAGAACCAAAAAAAAGTGTATTTCTAGTTAATGCCCTCGTACCTTGGATAGATAAAATTCATTTATGTGCAACGCGGGGGACATTGGAACTCTGTTCTTTTATTATTTTTATGCCCCACCTAGGGACATTATGTTTTTCGGTCTGTGCGTTCGTCCGTCCGTCTGTCCCGCTTCAGTTTTGACCCAAATTTCACGGTCCACTGAACATAGAAAATGATGGTGCGAGTAGGGCATTCTTGTACTATGGACACATTCTTGTTGTTTCTGTTTTAAATCTGCAGTGTAGTACAGTCATCGATATTAGAGTGTATTATGTATCAGCAGGTTAAGTACTTTGAGCTTAAAGCAATGTGTTTCAGAAAGGAAATTAATAAGGACATTAGGTCGAATTACCACTTTCAATTTATCGTTTTAAATCTCCGTTTTACTTACATAAAATCACAAGTGTATCACACTATTTTCTATCCCATAACAGTTGTCTATAGATGGAATGATCTTTGATTAGCAAACTGCCGATTAAGCCCACCCACTTACGTAAAATAAATCAAGTAAGTATAATTTATTATTAACCCAAAAGCGTTTTTAAATGGGAATTAGCTACGAGATATAAAAAAATAATAAAATTTAGATTTTTTTGTTGTTAAAATCATTAATGAAAGTGAAATAGTGAAATAAAAATTCAGTTTTAGCAGCCAGTTTGGTTTGATTTTGTCAAAATAAGCTAAAAAAAACTTCCTTGATGTATACATTTTCTTAACAAAAACCTAAATACAGAGAGAAAAAATGACAATACAAAAAGGCAAGGAATAAGACGAAAGGTATTCTGTCGAATTCTGTATGTGATTTCTTTGGGATATCCACGTTTGGGCTATTTGGTGTGACATTTCTTTGCATATACATGTATTACTTAAACCTTTTAATTTCATTTTGTTACATTCAATATACATTTAGTAAAATCTTGAAGTATAATCTTTACCGAAAATTCTTCGTGCTGTTTCAGAAAGGAAATTAATAAGGACATTAGGTCGAATTACCACATACAATTTATCGTTTTTAATCTCCGTTTTATTTACATAAAATCACAAGTGTATCACACTATTTTTTTATCCTATAACAGTTGTCTATAGATGGAATGATCTTTGATTAGCACATGCCGGTTAAGCCCATCCAGTTACGTAAAATAAATCAAGTAAATACAATTTATTATTAATTCAAAAGCGTATTTAAATGGGCATTAGCTACGAGACATAAAAAAATAAAATTTTGATTTTTTTTGTTCTATCATTAATGAAAGTGAAATAGTGAAATAATAATTCAGTTTTAGCAGCCAGTTTGTTTTATTTTTGTCAAAATAATCAAAGAAACTTTTTCCCTGATGAATTATTCACCACTTTCAAGTGATGAATTTCAACTCATTGAATCCGTATTCATGTGACCTTCAATTTAACCCCGTAGCTGGAGATTGGTTACGCATGTATTCAGCTATTAAAAAGAAAGGAATGTCATCATTGAAAGTGAAACAAGGATGAACCATTTTGTTGGCTGATTCGATCCACAAAAATCATTCTTTTACAGGTAAGAACGATGATTTACTTATTTTCTTCACCTTTAATATGAAATCAAATAGACCTAGAAAATCCAATTGCAAGTGGTCGCTATATATATATCTATTTATATTAATTTTATGTTTATCATGTTTATGTTTATATCGGGTTATATGACCGTCGGTAGTCTTCGGAGGTCATCTCGGTGGTTAATTAGATGACGTCTAGATAAAAAATACACACGAAATACTGATACATATTATTGAGTCCATGTATTGGTAATTGTTTAGTTTAGACTTTTTGTAATTTGGATATACGTTTAAGTATGATATAAATCAAATATGAGAATTTGAATGAAATCAGTGAACACGAATTTGACAGCTAATGCCCCTTTAAGTTTGAGTTAAAAAAAACCACTTTTTATCTCGAGCTTCCTAGGTAATGGAAAAGTCATCAAAAAGTACATGACTTTGTGCATTTTTGTATTAATCATTGTAAAATCGGTAGCTCTGTGTGTGTCCTATCTGCCAACCTCCACCTACATGACCTAGTGACTAATTTACGACAGCACTAGTCTTCCGGTAACTAAAACATGTAAAAGGATATTGAAAAGTAATGACTTTGCCTAGGTAGAACTGAATATAAAGACTTTGCAAATACAGGATGCAAATGAATTGTATGTAGAATAGTTGAAATGCAGTGGCAGATCCAGGGGGGGGGGTTCCGGGGGTTGGAACTCCCCCCTTTTTTTGACGATCAATGCATTTGAATGGGGACATACAGTTGGAACCCCCCTTTATCCTGGGTTAGGACCCCCCTTTTATAAATGGCTGGATCCGCCCCTGAAATGTATTGAACATATGATATTAAAACACACACTGCAGGAATAAAATGTGTACAAAAAGGAGCCGCCAAAAAAAAAAAAAAAAATATATAAGTAAACGTAGCAACAGACAAATGAAAAATATCCGATAAATGATCAATCCGGAAAATCCTACGGCCCACTGCCCTATCCCCCTTACCAAATGGTCGTCCCCGTATAACTGATACTGATGATTATTTTAAAACAAGAAAAATTAGGGTACGTATACGTCCAATAAACTCACAAAAGCTACCAGGCTTGTAATTGTGAACGCCAGACGAGAGTTTCGTCTACAAAAAACTCATCAGTGACAGTCTAATTATATCAAACATTTGCCTTAGTTTTTTCTCAAATGAATCATTAATTGTGCGTAGCACAATGGAAATTTTTCATTAATATCTCGAAAAAAAAATTGGGAATGTTCCTAAAAAAACTACAATCACTATCATATAAGTCTACGTTGTGTATTACACTTTAAAACGTGATTAATAATTCCCATTGTACTTTGAAAGAATATAATGGTGGGCACAGGTAGGTATTTCCATTTAACATTAATTTCACGTGTTAAATTTCCTTAAATTATTAAACAACACACAATATGTTTATTGCCCCCTTTGCGTATTTTTTAATTTTTTTCATAAAACATAAGGATACCACATCATATAACCAACCGTCTGATAATATTTCAATTCATAACAGCTATAGATAAACTTCAAACACATAATATATCCATTCATATTCTATTTTTAGATGTGGAGTTCCCATTTTACTTCCTGTGAAGTTATTTACAAGTCAAACAATGGATTTATAATTTTAGGGGAAAGGTCGTAAGTATTTTTAGAGATATTCCCATTTTTTACAGTCATATGTTCGAAAATTTCGATTATTCTACATACAATCAAATGAGCTGTGAAAGGATGAGGATTTTATATAATAGGTGAGGCACTGTTGATTGGATTTGGGCTACTGGCCGTGGAGGTTGAAGAGATTAATATTCGTGGAACAGACTCCCACATTTTTTTGGTTAGTTTGTGAAGGATAATTTACGATCGGATATGTCCTATTTAGTTATAAATCAAATCCAAGTAGAATGACGAAATAATGATTTGTTTCAAAGTGTTCCCGACATAACTATAGTGACGGAAGAACATAAAATATGTGTGTGTTTTAAGAATTTACACCAAGATGTCGTTAAATAAAATTGGATACCCTGCATTTATCATGCTTTTCAATAACATATGATCAAATCGTTGAAAGACCTCCCTCCTAAATTATTGAAAACTATCATTCTGCATTGACAATACTATCTTGGTGTGAATTAGATACACCCATTCGGACTAACGCCCTCAAGGTGTATCTAATACATAGAGTAAACAGTAATAGGGTTATGTGGGCGATCTCTTATAAAGAATGGCAAATGAATAAATAACACATATGATATTACTTATAAGAATCTTAAAACTATGATATTTAATTAGTATGATGAAAAGGGGGGTTGAGGGTTGATCAATACCTGCATGCATACGATTTAGAGTTTGACATTTGATATGGATAAATACGAATACAGTTTACTACATTTGGTATATACGATTAGAGTTTGATATTTGGTATGAATACATACTATTTAGAGTTTGACATTTGGTATGAACACAATCGATTTAGAGCTTGACATTTGGTATGAACACATACGATTTAGAGTTTTACATTTGGTATGAGCACAAACGATTTAGAACTTGATATTTGGTATGAACACATACGAATAAGAGTTTTACAATTGGTATGAACACATACGATTTAGAGTTTTACATTTGGTATGAACACATACGAATTAGAGTTTTACATTTGGCATGAATACATACGATTTAGAGTTTTACATTTGGTATGAACACATACGATTTAGAGTTTGATATTTGGTACGAATATATCCGATTTAAAGCTAGACATTTGGTATGAACACTTTTGTATTATTAAAAATGAATGTTTTCGTTTGTTTGGCTTATATGTTGTTGGATTATTTTGTCAAAAAAAATTACACTGGTCTCCTTTAGTTGATATATACGTATATGAATACGTTTTAAATATAAATGACATTTTTATTGGTTTGTTGTCACATTAACCTTTACCTCATATTTTCATTTATTTATGTCTTTTTAATACTAGATACAATACAGGACGACAAATTCTTTACAACTGTTTTCAAACGGCAATTATCATTAAAATGAGGTGCTCGGACCAAACTGTTAAGAAACATGAATATAAACATTTTTTAGAACATGTAAAGTAAACTTTATATTTCTTATTTTCCTTTTTCGGGAAAAAATAATAAGTTTCAGTACATGTATATTTTTGAAGTGTTATGCGGAAACTACTTAGTATTTATAAAATGTTATATGACACGCAGATGCAGTTTCGTTGTTTTAAATACACTAAGTGTAAATATCTGAGTATTGTTGTTAGTAATGTTATCATCGTGGTGTAAAAAAGCTAATATATGAATAACATTTAAAGCGGAATTCGTGCCGGTTGATTTGACTCGAACTCTCAAATTTAGGTTTTTAGATAATTTCCATGTAGTTTCCTCTATAATTTCGGTTTTTGCCGTACCCTACCGTAGGTAAGTCAAATATTTAATCTCTAGTAATTGCATTAGATGTATGTTTCATAAGAATTCGCACTTTTCATTGTGATTTTAAAAAATCGCGAGTCATTCCAAAATAATACTTTATTTCCGTATAAAATGAAAAATTCGTGACGCACGTGATTCCCATGATAACGTCACAACAATGCATAGAATAAACAAAAGAAAAAGTTGATATAACTAGTAATTTTATGGTAGTAGAATATGAATGTAGTTATCAAATTGAATGCTTCTTTTGTAATTTTAAAGGGTTGTAAAAGCTTCCGTGCTTCGTACAAAATGTGCCTTGGTTAACCTTTTTACTTCCAAATATATTAACAAAAAGAAGCATTTAATTCTTAAATAAACAGAAAGTTAGTATAGCTAGTAATGAACTAATGCTGTCTGTTTTTCGTCGTCGAAAAAAGGGAGATTTAGACGTGTTTTACCGGCTGCGACGTTCATAATGTATTAGTTTGAGATAAGGGGTAGTTTAGGTGGAACCCTGCACTAGTAGTAGGTCAATGATATTTGGTATGCAGTTGTATTAGCACCGGCCATCCAATTTCCATGGAGATTATTCGACCCAGCCCCCTCAGTCGTGGTCTGTTGACTTTGAAACTTTTGCTCAGTTAACATAAATTGGTTTGTTGTTCGGCTAATTTAAGGGGAACCACCAGTGGTAGATCTTTGGTATGTGATATGCAGATGCATAAGCATTGGTAAATCTCATTTCCAGGGAACTTATATGGTCCCGCCCCCTAAGCATGGTTCATTGACTTTGAACCTTTTGCAAAGTTTAAAAGTTAAAGTTTGTATTTAGGTTCGTTTAAGGAAAGCCACTTATGATAAGTCAATGGTATATGGTATGCAGTTTAACAAGCATTGGCATTTCTCATTTCAATCGAAGTTATTTGGTCCTGCGCCTTCAGTCATAACTTAAATACTTTGAAATTGAGAATGGAAATGGGGAATGTGTCTAAGAGACAACAACCCGACCAAAGAATGTTTTGCATAGTTTACATGTTTAAATGTTGCCATTTTAATTTCAACTCCTGAATCATACTATCAAAATTCCAAAAAAGCGAGAAATATCTCTGTGTCAACAGTTTATTGTGTGTAATGTGTTGTTTGGTTTCTGTCTCTTTGGCCTATAACCCTCGTCTTTTATTTGTAATTAGTGACCTAGTTGAAAAAATATTATATATTTTGAATATTTTTTATACTTTCGAGTCATACTTTATATTGTCCTTATTTTCAAAATAACACTTCTTAAAGATTACCTTTGACATAGGTCATTAAAGAAAATAGATAAAAGGAACCAGAATTCATCGATTTAATGCACCATTCTTTTGTTAACGGAGAGTTAAAAGGTACACGATCTCAGATTTAATTCACGACTCATTTTGGTAAAATAGTGTTAAAAGGTACACGATCTCAGATTTAATGCACTATTCCTTTGGTAACGGAGTGTTAAAAGGTACACGATCTCAGATTTAATGCACTATTCCTTCGGTAACGGAGTGTTAAAAGGTACACGATCTCAGATATAATGGACGATTCCTTTTGGTAACGGAGTGTTAAAAGGTACGCGATCTCAGATTTAATGCACTATTCCTTTGGTAACGGAGTGTTAAAAGGTATACGATCGCAGATTTAATGCACCATTCCTTTTGGTAACAAAGTGAAAAAGGTACACGATCTCAGATTTAATGCACTATTTCTTTGGTAACGGAGTGTTAAAAGGTACACGATCTCAGATTTAATGCACCATTCCTTTTGGTAACGGAGTGTTAAAAGGTACACGATCTCAGATTTAATGCACCATTCATTTGGTAACGGAGTGTTAAAAGGTACACGATCTCAGATTTAATGCAGCATTCATTTGGTAACGGTGTGTTAAAAGATACACGATCTCAGATTTAATGCACCATTCCTTTTGGTAACGGAGTGTTAAAAGGTACACGATGTCAGAATTAATGCACCATTCCATTGGTAACGGAATGTTAAAAGGTACACGATCTCAGACATTCGTGTTTGCATATTCAAGTATCGAAATATTATCATGCATTTAGGTACAATGAGACCAGGGCCAGTATGCATACAGCTACTTAAGTTAAGATTTGTTCCGAACGGACGGATTTTTCTACATGTCCTACGATAAATTAGTATTACGATTGGATATCTTAACTTAAGTGGTTTTATTCATACCAGCCCAGGCCTAGAGATAAGCCAGGCATAAATAGATATCCCATAAAAAGATAAAAGCGGCTCCGAGGGCGAGTTTAAACCACTCAGGTTTAAATGACAAAATGGAGCATCATAAAGTGATACACATATATACCCTGCCAATCTGTAAATATAAAAACAAATTGAAATTTTCAAAATTAAGGACACTCTGACATAGATACTGATCATATTAAAGTTCACGAATATTTAACTGACTCGAAAGCTAGTTGACAGAATTATAAAAAAAAAGTTAAAAAAAAGTTTCAGGACATTATTGAAATACTGAATTGAATTTCATGACTCCCAATTTCAATAAAACCTCACCAAAAATATGCCAGAGATAGGACTGATGTATATTCTTCATAATAAATACCACCAAATTATTGTATTTAGTACGAAGGATTTTAAGAGCCGAATCGATATAAAAAAAATATGTATGAGTAATGACATTTTGATACCTCTTAAAGTTATAAACAGGCCTGGCTGATATTCAGTGTTACAGTAAATGTCGTGTAAGGGGCAAGATTTCACCCTTTGTGACCGTAGTCTATGAGAACTGTTAAATTCTATTTTTCGAAGGTCATTAACTTTTATCCTCGTCATATTTCAGACATGGATTTCTTTATTGTGCAAAATGAAATTTTTACATCAGCATGTGTGCTATGATAGATGATCCTATAAAAGCAGATACAATTATTTTGATACTCTAATTTTATTGTGTGTCTTGTGAGTTGTTTGGTTTCTGTCTTTTTGACCAACAACCGTCGTCTATAATTTGTAATTAGTGACCGGTTCCTTAAATGTTTAAATTAATTGCTTAATATATATTTTGAATATTTTTATACGTTCGAGTTTTACGACGTATAATACCTACAAATTGATATGATACATATATATACATTGGTAAAATGCACATTAATGAGGATCTCCTCATTCTGTTAGATTGATTGATTGATTGATTAGTATTGCTTAATGTTCATCGGCAAATAGTGGATGCATATTCAGGACGATAACAATGTTAATGAGACATGACTATTGGGACCCTACTTTGTGCCTCACCGACACACTTAGTCAGATGTTAACGTGTTACATATATTTGCTCACGCGAATGCAAATTTTGAGACGGGATAACAAGTATTTGACAAAAACTGCACCAGAACATCGGACAAAAAAAATGCATAGACCTTCGTTATCTATCTACATAGCTGAGGATGTGGATGGGGTTTACAGAATAGAGAATAATTGTCAAAATATGCAGGATAAAGGGCAAAAAATATAAAGAAAAGGGAGAAATAGGCCAAAAAAATAAAGAATAGAGAATGATGGGGTGATAAAATATAAAGAATAGAGAATAACAGGCAAAATTTAAAAAGAATAGAGAAAAATGGCCTAAAATATTTAAGAATACAGAAATGAAGGACCCCCCATCCAGACCCTCATACATGTAGCTATTCAGTATACGAGTCTGAGGAAACATTACAGATTACAACACAGTTTATGTATTCAGTTTGTAAGTAGTATTTAAACTACCCATTTGATATGCATACCATGCTTCAAAACAACTAAAAATATATTCAATTAGGTCAAAAATATAGTTATGTTTCCTGCCTCCCTTCCTATCAAAAATGTACATGCTAACACATTTTATGAACATTCTTGGTAAATCAACTTTATAGTCGAGACATAATGCACTGTTATAGTCCAGAACATTTACAAGTACAAGAGAGGCAAACGACACCAAAGGGATATTCAAACTCATAAGTCGAAAATAAACTGACAATGCCATGGCAAAAAAAAAACGAAAAACGACGAAAAGACAAACAACAGTGCACTCAACACAACATAGAAATCTAGAGACTGAGCAACACGAGCACCACAAAAACCGGGGTTATCTCAGGTGCCCCGGAAGGACAAGCAGATTGCTCCACACGTGGAACGCGTCAAGGTAATGTAAAATAAAAAAACAAATACCTGCCTACCTACACTATTCTATACTGCTATGAGGTAGAAAACAAGTACATATTCTAGTATATGTTTTATGTCCTGAATACATTTTCAGTAGTTTCAATATAGTAAATATAACATTGGGTTCCTCCATACATGTACATACTGAAGAGAATCATTACATTTGTACAAATCTTTCTTTGATAATATCTGTTTCTATGCCTAACTAATTTTTAAGACCTTTGACAGTTCAAGAGGATATATTGGAATAGTCTTAGTGATCAATTGAATCTACATGGACTATGGCACAAAGATAAATTTATATATATATATACATAAACAAGTCTAAATTGAAAACAACGTTCAAACCTATGATTGCGTTGGATAAAAACCGAAATTTTTATACGTGTGCATGCAAAACAAATTTCTTGGTAGAGGGGTCTAAATACAGCACAAACAACATTTTCCAAAAGACATAAAAAGTGAAAAGGTATATTTAAACAAAACGCATTTGACTAGCAGGTCGAACAACGGATGTTCTTAAACCCTGCTGACTGCCATTGGCGATTGCCAAATAAACCAATCACCAGATGTAACAAAATGAATCTTAACTATTAATTTAATACCAAACAGAAAACAATAAACTTGCGGAAAAGATGGTATACCGCAAACAAAAGGTGCAAAAATTAGTACACCATATCCGGATTTCGACAGTTAATGTCTCTTCAGTAATGTTAGGAACCGAAACGGTATTTGGAAGGCCATACAATTTACCTCAATTTAGGATAGACTCTTGATAAACTCTATATATACATATACATAATTCGTCTCAAATTTGACAAATCAGAAAGTCAGACCTGTTGATACTTCAATGATTTCTTGAATTTCTCTTTTTCAATTGATTATGCAAACTGGTATCGTTAATCTCCCTATCATAAAGAAGAGTCCACTTACTGATATATTTTTTACGAAGTCCGCAGCTACGCCATGTTTCTAAAACTGGTTTAAATGTATGCCCAATTTCAATTTCCACATGAAATACATTAATATTATAGTATTATATATTAAATTATCATTATTTTGATATTGGATTTGATTTCAGTGTGGATAGTTGCTACCCGTTGCTATTTTTGCTAAATGTTTACTTGAGGAAAATAAAAAACAGGGAAATAAAAGCAAGTGATTCACGTACCAACTCTTGATAAAGAGTTTTTTAATGTTGTTTTCCCGTTAGAGTCATTCGCCATAAAAAAATGTAAGATTTTTTGGTACAAGAAATAATGTTATTTTGGATATAACACGTTTTCTGATTGGCTGAAAGTTGTTTGTCTCTCAGCTCATAGACATAATTTTGTCATGTGACCGAGACGTCATCGACGTTTTTTCATGATTTACTCCTTAAAAATGGAATTAAAAATTAAATTTTAAGGGATGACTGTAATATTTTTTCTGTCTAATTACGAAATAACTTCCAAAATGTGGTGCATACTTTTAAATAACCCGCTCAGCGAGGGTTATTCAGTGTGCACTACATTTTTTATGTTATTTCTTCATAGACAGAAAAATGTTAAAGTCATTCCTTAAATAGTAGAATATGTAATTTTTGTAAAAATGATATAGAATATGAGTATCATTTCATCATCAAGTGTCCATGTTTTCAAGGTTTTCTAAAATGTTACTTTAAGCCATATTATTGGAAAAAAATATCGATGTACAAATTTATTAAACTAATGAGAGCAAACAATAAAAAAGAGCTGTGTAATTTAGGTAAATTTACTTTTAGATCTTTTTAGCCTAGAACAGTGTTTACATATAATATTTATAATTACCACATCTTCTGCTATTCTGTCACATAGTTTGTGTTTATATATGTATTATTGCTGTGGATGTACATGTAATTCAAATGTGCACCTATAGTTTATATAATTTTTGGTAATAAATAAATATATATATATATATAAAGTACTCTTTCTCTTTTCACAACTATATTTGCCAAATGTTTGCTTAATTGAAACAAGAACAAAATGGGGAAAAACCCAGGTGATATAACTCGAAAGATGTTCTTCTCTTTTTCAGTTGACATAAGTAAATATGGCGTCGTCATTAAACAATGATGTCTCGATGGATGCTTCACCTACAGATGAAAACTACAAACCTAACACTGTATCATTAAGAGGTAGTGTATTCAGTGCCATGTTATTGTTAGTCGTGAGGGTCTGAAAGGGAACCCTTGATTTCTGTATTCTTTATTTTTTGGACATAATTGAAGGCCGTACTTTGACCTATAATGGTTTACTTTTACAAATTGTGACTTGGATGGCACTCATACCACATCTTCTTATATCTATATAATTCTCTATTCTTTATTTTTTATTTGTCCATTATTTTCTATTATTTTTTTTTGTGCCTATCTTTTATTATTCTTTTCTGGACCTTTATTCTGTATTTTTTATTCATTATTCTCTATCCTGTAGACCCCATCCAGACTATCAGTCATTAAAAATGTTCTCTTTGTATACTAAGATTTATTTTTGTTTTTACATTCATCCGTACCCAAATTATTGTAGGCAATTGTGGCAACTTGTCACAAAGAAATATAACAGCCATGGTTTTTATGGTTCTTTTTTGTTATTCCTGAATAAAATAAATGAAAATGTTTTGTCAATGACCGTATAATCAAAAGTATAATGCAACACTGTTTGTAACGTTCATTCTGATTGGATTACGTCACTAATTTCAGTGTTCAGTTCCACAATTGACCTGGAATTGTGCGCGCAAGCCATTTTAAAATGTATGATTAAACGGTGTTTTTCATTTGCATCAGAATTGAGATAAAAGTATTGTATTTGAAGATTTACAGGCATCAGTTTTTGATTTGATGATTGCAAATCTTAAAATAAAACACTGTTATCTCTTAAATGTATCAATTATATGTGTTACAATTTCTAAGAATTAATCTGCATTAAGCATCATCAATCGAACTACAATAAAAACATACGAGAACAGGAGGACGGAAATGTGGCTTCAACAAATGAAAAATATGTGTGGCTAAATGTAACTTGCTTATATTGATAATATTCGATTATTCGGACAAGATGTAAATCTAAATTCCACTGTTTATTTCCATTTATTTAGTACCAAAAGACAAATTATTATCATGATTATAGTTGTAAAAGGACTTATTCAGTCCAAACCTGTTGATAGATATAAATGATAACAAATAAATAAACAAAAACATAATGGTAAGTTTACATTAAAACAGAACGAAAAGTTCACAGTCGATAACCCAAGTTTGAAAATCAGGAAGTACAACAACATATATATGTTCAATTTGTTGTAGTTTAATTGATTGATTGATTGTTGGTTGCTTAACGTCCAGTGGCAAATTTTTCATGCATATTCAGGACGATGTTGTAGTTTAAATACTTTGAGTTATCACCGGACTTCAACATTACAGTGCAGTTAATGTAACAGGAATAACTTACCTTACTATTGCATACGATTTAGATTTTTTTTTTCGGAGTTTGTGTTGCTCAGTCTTTAAAATATAAATTAAAAAATAAAAAATAAAAAATAAAAAACACAAAAAGCAAAGGAACAGCACATTTATTGCCGTTCTTCATCTTAAAGTCACAGTAAAGCCTTCAACAGGGAGAAAACACTCTCAAATCACTGCAAGTTAAAGAAGGCCCCTTGTTTGTCCTTTTATCCTTTCTTTGTTGTTGTCTTTTCTTTATACAATTATTTGTTTTGATTTACAGTATAGCTTTATAATTTTTCTATTTTATTTCTATTTTTATGTAAAATACGTTGATTTTTTTTAATTTGCAGGAAACAGAGAACAACACTTGCCACAGGCAAACGGAGGTAAGTGACAGTAGAGAGGGTCTGGATGTGGTTTACATAATAGAGAATAATGGGCAAAAAGTACAGAGTATAGCCCCCTCCCCCCCAAACCCCCCCCCCCCCAAAAAAAAAAAAAAAAAATAAAAAAAAAAAATAAAAAAAAAAATAAAAAAAATGAAAGATGTGAGATATAAGCAAAAATAAAGAAAAAGGAGTGAATAGAGAATAATGTCGTGTTAAAATATAGAAAAGAGAGAATAAATGCGATTTAAAATATAAATAATAGAGAATAATGGGCAAAATAAATAAAGAATAGAGAAAAATGATCTAAAATGTAAAAAAGGATAAAGAAATGAAGGACCCTCATTAGGGACCTCAGTGGAGACATCAATAAAAAGCTATGTATTAGCCGACTATTTACGTAATGGGGTTTTTTCATCGTGGAAGGCCTTACGGTGGCCTATAATTGCTATAAGTTACTACCACTTCATATTAACTCTGAATTAAACGGCTCAATTCCGACGTCCCCCAAATAATCTTTCCGACTCTCAAATATACCTTTGTGGATAAAATATACGGATCAGCTTTTTTAATGACGTCAAAAATAGCTCACATTTTGATATTCGATGAAAATGTAATGAAAATATGTCAATTTCCATTGCGTTGACAATAAATATTTTTAACATAATCTACTTATAATATTTTACATATATATATATATATATATGACTTTAATGTGTAGACTGCCGAAGCCTGCGCTCTATGTTTCATAGGCCTAAATTTGGTTGAAATCCAGACGATTTTCTCAAATTTTACCAAAGATCTCTACTTTTTGCCTATTTGGATTTTAAATTTTAACGATTTATAAGAAAAGCTTGATAAAAAAGATATATTTAACATTCTTAGGGACTGGTCATTTTTCTTTCATTGGGTGGGGTGGGGTGGCCGGGGGGGGGGGGGGTGAGAGGAAACAGTGGAATTTTGGAATTTCTCTGATTTTTTTCATGTCCCCACCTTGAGGAAGGAAAATAAATTCAAGACCACCCTTCCAAAGACATTAAAATTTCACCCCCCCCCCCAAAAAAAAACAAATATTGCTTCAGTAAAGGATCTAGAGCTTCAAGTGGGAGAAGCTGTTTGTGACTCCAGGGAACTTTATTTGGATATATATAAAATGAGGAGATGTGGTATAATTGCTAATGAGACAGCTATCCAACGGAGTTAAAATAAAGTGGTAGTAAGCAATTATAGGCCACCGTACAACCTTCAACAGAGTTAAAATGAAGGGGTAGTAAGCAATTATGGGCCACCGTATGGCCTTCAACAATCTTTTCCTAGACAAAAGTATCAAGCAGTACACATCCAACGTATTTAGTGATAAGACGTCATAAAAAAAAATTGATGGCCTTGGGCTGTTTTCTGCTCTTTGGTCGGTTTTTTTATCTCTTTGACGCATTCCCCATTTCCATTCTCAATTTTGAGAAACGTGAGTCCTTATGCAACGCCAAAATATAAGTAAACAGTATCTACAGGATGTAGAATCATAAGTTATTATAACTGCACATATAACGCAACATATAGTCAGTTATGTTTTAATTTTTCAAAACAAAATGCAATGTTAATAGTCCTATAAAACAATTTTTAAAAGATTAAACTACTGTGTTAATTTGACAATCTTGTTTTAAGAATAAGTTTATTCAAAGGATAAATTAGTTTACATGGAATGTGTCTGAATTTACGGGCTTTATAAACATCATCACCGTAAAATTAGGATGGGATATCCCGTTTGTAATAAGAAATCTTCAGTACTGGTGCCTAACTTTCGGATCAAATCTTTATATATATGAATGAAATTGGTAAAGGTTTTGATTAATTTGTGGTGCCTTTTAATTAATCAGTTATACATGAATTATGTTCATTGAAATCTAAAACCAACTACAGACAAGCGCAGGGCGAGCAATTTGTGAACTGTATTATCACATCGTCAGAAGGGGCTAAAGGAATGTGTCTGTTATGGTCTCATGGACATTTACCACATTGAATTTCAGCACATTGTTATATATATCCTTTATTAAAGCAGTTGGTAAATTAACTTTAGATAAAAATATATATAAGAAGATGTTGAAACTTAGGAATTGAATCTTAAAAAAATTGATGTCATTTGTGCCAAAAAAGTTATACATTTTATTGTATGGGGAAGAGGTGGGTGTGGGTCACCAAAACTTTTCAATACCCTCATCTGAAGTATTGAAAAATTAAACAACCGCCCTTTCCATGCCCAACATTTTCAAGCCTCCCCCTTTGATTATCCTCCCCCCTCTTTCGGGATACAAATGACCAGTCCCTTATGTGTTCTGTCATCAACTTAAAACACTGAACTTAATATTGGGGGCCAAATATGGCCCTTACCTTTGTATTTAATATAAAAATAAGGAGATGTGGTATGATTGCCAATTTCTAGTCTAGCCAACTTACTACAGCATAAGGTCGACACATAACTACAAAAGTAATATTTATACATCATGCATATAAAAATACACAGAAAACGACAAAATAAACAGTTTAATATGTATTCATCAACAGTAAGCAATCTCCTAATGTTAAAAGCTACAACTCTATACCATAGTACTGTTACATTAATGCAACATTGTTCAATCTCTAAAAAAACAATTTAAGAATCTAATATTAACATTTAGTAAATTGTGAAAATGCCATTTACTTTCATTTTAGTGGAAAATGATGACACAACTCCAAAATGCGTTGTGCAAGGTATGTTCCAACTAAATTGTGAAACTTTAAATATTTTTCACACATTCAACTTAAAAGATTTAAATTTTAAATATTTTTAACAAAAACATTTAATGGATTTCATGGAATTCTTCAGTTACAATTTTAAAGACATACTATTTACAAGCAACACAAATCGGTATTAAGCGGAATTTTGATTTAACCACCAATTAGTATACAAAAAGTTTTCAAAGTAGTTTGTTTTATTGTAAAAACTGACCAATGATGTAACTGGCATTTTTAGTTTTATGTATTGTTAAAATTGTTTTCTATGAAATCAGAAACTTTTAGACAAGGCTATTGATCTCACAATTATATTTTTGTTATAGAAAATCACTCATCTGAGGCGGCTGAAAGTGCAATTTTGAATGGTAGGTCACAGAATTACAATAATACATTCAATTGATGTAACGCCTCAGGGCAATTTTACTTTATGAATTTTGGTGTATTTAGTGTCATAGTTAAAAAGATGTAATGATTACATTAAGTTTTAATCCTGCATTTTGCTTTCTCATCAAGTGACCCTTGAACTATTGTGGATCGTTGCCACATTGTTTATCAAACAACATTTTCTTAAAAAAATCCGAATATTTTACAAACAAAATATATTATAAAACTTATTCAACCAAATCAAGACTTGCGTTACACCACTGTTCCAGGTTAGGGGGGGTGGGGGTGGACCAACAAACAAGTTTAAACCCGCTGCATTTGTATGCACCTTTCCTAAGTCAGCAGTCGGTTCATGTGGTTCATAAGGGTTCATAAGTGTTTCTCGTTTCTCGTTTTTTTATATAGATTAGACCATTGGTTTTCCTATTTGAATTGTTTTACACTAGTCATTTTCGAGCCCTTTATAGCTTGCTGTTCGGTTTGAGCCAATGCTCCGTGTTGAAGGCCGTGCTTTGACCTATAGTTGTTTACCTTTTACACATTGTGACTTAGATGGAGAGTTGTCTCATACCACATCTTCTTATTTCTATTGAACGCAATAGAGCAATACAATGTCCGTTTATTCAACAATGAGTTATATTATAGAAGCTACATCTCCACCAAAATATGTGATATCAATTTGAGTGCAAAGATACAGACTTTAACATATCTAACTCTGTATGTCAAACTTTATATTTGTTGTTCTTAATCTATGCGTAATTATACCCCTGCTCCGAAAGAAGGGTTTTTTTTATAGATTAGACCGTTGGTTTTCCTGTTTGAATTGTTTTACACTAGTCTTTTTTTTGGGGCCCTTTATAGCTTGATGTTCGGTGTGAGCCAAGGCTCCGTATTGAAGGCCGTACTTTGACCTATAATTGTTTATTTTTTACACATTGTGACTTGGATGGATAGTTGTCTCATTGGCACTCATACCACATCTTCTTATTTATATTTACACATAATGGCCATGTATAAAATTTAGGTCGCGTTTTTCTCAGGAAATACAATTCAAGGCTTTTTAATACTTCCTAACATCCATCACTTAACAACCTCAAGTTAAAAAAATACTCATAGCGTGGGTATCATAATAGTGAGTAACAGTTGTCAGTTAAACTTGTTAAGACGTGCGATACATGTTTCTAGAGCGAACCGCAGACGTTTATGGAATAACTTGCATCGAGAACAAAAGTTTCGAATGCCAAATACAAAAATAAAAATGGCGACAATAAAAAAAAGCAAGAGATGATAAGAATTTTTTTTAGAATTTTATGTCATTGTTAATGATTATAATCTTTTCAAGATCTGTGCGATCAAAACATACAATTCATAATCATACGTATAAAGTTGTACTACTCTGATTAGAGTTAGAAATCCAAATCTATTATTTGGTCAGTACATCTTTTGCAATCGTGCACATATTTTCTTAGTCGTTTTATGTTAATATCACTTATAATCTATTTGCAGAATACCTAGCTATTGACCAAAGCAATAACCCTAGCGGTCCAAGTTCTTTCGCAGGTAATAAAACATACACAAAGAAAACGTTCCGTTTATAAAGTTGATTTATTAACCAACTGAGTATATTGTTGTTGAAATGCCCAGTTCTAACGAAAATTCCATAAATAAAACAAAAAATCAAGCCTTCCATGTTAGTTCTATTGAAAAATGCATGGATAGGATGATTTGTGATCTGGACGCTTTAGAACAATTATGTCAGCTGTGATGTCACTTTGATATCTTAAACAATTTGATATTGACATATGTGAACTAAAGGGCCAGCCATTTTACAAAGTTTTACACATAGCTGTTTTCAAAATATATATTTGATTAATGGCCTTACCCCAAAATGATATTTTACCACATTAGTGCAGCGGCTAAGTCCAATATTTTGGCACAATTGATCACTTTATGGTAAAAGCATGAAACTTTGCACATTGTTGGTTATAATGTATAAACATTTTTGAATATGGAGCCATCTGAAAAAATTCCAAAATGGCCGCCAAAATTCAAAATGGCCGCCAATAGTCAAGAGGCTTATTCCTATATGTTGGCATGTTTGATCTCTTTATAGTAAAAGCATGAAACTTTGCACAGTGATAGTTATGATGCTAACAAACCACTTATTAGTTGGCATGAAGATAGTGGATTGACTAGTGTTTTAGTAAATGCCAAGGTTATATCATCCGGTACATTAGATTTATTCTAGAGAGCTTCTCATTTCACAAAATCACGCAGAGCATACCAAACAAAAAGTAAAATAACAAAAATACCGAACTCCAAAGAAAATTCAAAACGAAAAGTCCCTAATCAAATGGCAAAATCAAAAACTCAAACACATCAAACTTATGGATAACAACTTTCATATTTCTGACTTGGTATGAAATTCCATTATATTGACAACAATGTATGAACAAAACAAACAAACATAATAGGAAAGAATGTCAAAAATAGGGGTGCAGCAGTCAACATTGTTTTATAATCTTAATCACTATAAAAACATTCAAAATATGTCAACAAAAAAAACTCAAAAAGGCATATAGACAAAGCATATAAGCAAAACCGAAAGACAAAATTACAAAAAATTACCATAGCCCAATAACACAATGAAGGGATGTATAAGTACCGAGCCACGTGAAATGGATGTATAAGATCCGATCCACCAAGTTATAGCCATTGCACTTTGTCGTTATTGTAAAACACTTACTGACAGTAACCCTGCAATTTGAATTGACAGTATTGGTATTTGTAAGGTCTAAACGTGAGACTAACTTCATTTTATATCTAGAAGCTCCCGCGAAGATCATCCCTTGGTTCTTTGCTTTGAATCACAAAAACTATTCATGATGGTTGCCAATTCATCAACGTGATACGCTTTATTTATCAAAAACGAATCAAGAAATTCACGGAGCATCCGTTGACGGAGACTTTCTAGGGCGCCATTTTGAAAACTTGATATATGTCCCTTGGTCTAATAAATACATTTTAGTCCTATGTCTAAATCACATGATCAGTTTAACAAATTTGGTAACTTTCTATACCACAGTTGTAGTGTATTTATCAGGCGCGTAGCTACGTTTACGTCAAAACGCCCGGGCGTACACATGAATTTTGAAAAAAAAATATTTAAATCTAAATAAATTAAAAGAATTGGTTAAAAGAACATGAGGCTTGTATTATTTTCTTCAATGACGAAATTAACTTTTTGAATCAAATGATATGATATTACATATTTGTTCATTTTCTATTTTCTATTGTTCAAAGCAATTTATTATATATAAAATCTTGTTAACAATAAAAGTGGTGGTGTCTGATACAAGTAGTCTGAAGCCAAGGAGACAGCATTAAGGATTTAACTAGACAAAAGGTGTATTGTGCTATTTTTGCCAAACGACATGTGATATGAAAATAAAATAATTTTGAATTTTGTCTCCTGTAAATGACTGGTCAAACTTGTCACATGTAAAACATCACCTACAAGATGATTCTGCTCACCAATCCATTGTGTAAAATTGGGACAAGACTTTTTGGATGTTGCAAATTCAATATCCAAGTCAATAGCTTCTCAAGTTCTTCACTGTCATCCTTTCATCATGAGATTCTAACAAAAAACCGACATATACTTTCAAAAATAGTTGATGTAATCATCCGTTGTGAAAACAGAATATACCACTTCGTAGCCATACTGAAGAAAAAAAGTAACTTTATGGCAACACTTAAGACAATTGCAAATTCGGATGACGTCTTTGCTATGCATCTTGAGACTGGTCAAATACACATCCCCAGAAAAACAAAATGATACAACAACAGATAAAGCATATCAAACCCAGCTTTAAGTTTGTGTTACATTTAGGGAGGTACCATTTGATTTTTATGAGAGGGAGGAGGCTAAGATGAAATTTTGAGTAAAAAAAGGCAGGATGAGCAACTTGGCATACAAAAAAGGCAGGATGACAATTTATGTAAAAAAAGTCAGGATAAACTAATAAAAAAGGCAGAACCAAATAGAGTGAAAAATAAAAAGGCAGGACAAAGATTACAAAAAAAAAGCAGGACAAAATTTGTCATCCTAGCCCCCCCCCCCCCCCCCCTCCCCCCCCCCCCCTCATAAAAACAAACGGTAGCTCCCTTACGTTAAATATTTTTAGGATTAAATCACGCCAAAGCTACAACTGGAGAAGCAATTGCAAATCTGCTATGTACTTGAATTTATGATATAAAATGGTATTTGTCTACAAAAATTGAGAGCACAGGGTTATAATGGTTCTAGCATTACACTGCATACGCAATGATTTATACAATTCTGGTAACTTTTATTCACAATATCGTACAAACCTTAACATTTGATTGTTTGATAAATGTACTTATTTTGTCTAAAGTTTTCTTTTTTATATTTCTGTGGAAGCTGAGATACGATATGTGGTTTGCACTTTCACCCCACATCTCCTTATCTCTTTCTCGATAACGCGTGAGCTTCCGTGGGGGGTCTCCCACAGGAGCCCCTTTCAGACCCACACCCTGGATCCAGACCCCTCGCCGTGGTTCGGGCGTACACTTAAAAAAGGCCTTACTACGCCACTGTTTATATATATATATATACAAGTCTAAATTGAAAACAACGTTCAAACCTATGATTGCGTTGGATAAAAACCGCAATTTTTATACGTGTGCATGCAAAACAAATTTCTTGTTAGAGGGGTCTTAATACAGCACAAACAACATTTTCCAAAAGACCAAAAAAGTGAAAAAGTATATTTTAACAAAACGCATTTGACTAACAGGTCGAACACCAAATGTTCTTAAACCCTGCTGACTGCCATTGGCGATTGCCAAATAAACGGATCACCGATGTAATAAATGGATCTTAATTAAAAATTTAATACTAAACAGAAAACAATAAACTTGCGGAAAAGATGATATACCGCAAACAAAAGGTGCAAAGGTTTTTGTACACCATATCCGGATTTCGACAATTAATGTCTCTTCAGTGATGTTAGGAATCGAAACGGTACTTGGAAAGCCATACAATTTACCTCAATTTAGGGTAGACTCTTGAATTTTGAGGAGTCAAAATAGGATGAACGGATCATATAAACCCGAAGGCAAATATAATACAAGCCCAAACGAAAAAATATAAACAAGTCTAAATTGAAAACAACGTTCAAACCTATAATTGCGTTGGATAAAAACCGCAATTTTTATACGTGTGCATGCAAAACAAATTTCTTGTTAGAGGGGTCTAAATACAGCACAAACAACATTTTCCAAAGGACCAAAAAAGTGAAAAAGTATATTTTAACAAAACGCATTTGACTAACAGGTCGAACAACAAATGTTCTTAAACCCTGCTGACTGCCATTGGCGATTGCCAAATAAACGGATCACCGATGTAATAAATGGATCTTAATTAAAAATTTAATACTAAACAGAAAACAATAAACTTGCGGAAAAGATGATATACCGCAAACAAAAGGTGCAAAGGTTTTTGTACACCATATCCGGATTTCGACAATTAATGTCTCTTCAGTGATGTTAGGAATCGAAACGGTATTTGGAAAGCCATACAATTTACCTCAATTTAGGGTAGACTCTTGAATTTTGAGGAGTCAAAATAGGATGAACGGATCATATAAACCCGAAGGCAAATATAATACAAGCCCAAACGAAAAAATATAAACAAGTCTAAATTGAAAACAACGTTCAAACCTATAATTGCGTTGGATAAAAACCGCAATTTTTATACGTGTGCATGCAAAACAAATTTCTTGTTAGAGGGGTCTAAATACAGCACAAACAACATTTTCCAAAGGACCAAAAAAGTGAAAAAGTATATTTTAACAAAACGCATTTGACTAACAGGTCGAACAACAAATGTTCTTAAACCCTGCTGACTGCCATTGGCGATTGCCAAATAAACGGATCACCGATGTAATAAATGGATCTTAATTAAAAATTTAATACTAAACAGAAAACAATAAACTTGCGGAAAAGATGATATACCGCAAACAAAAGGTGCAAAGGTTTTTGTACACCATATCCGGATTTCGACAATTAATGTCTCTTCAGTGATGTTAGGAATCGAACACATGTATATAAATACCTTCAAACTCTAACATTTTTGACGGTGCCATTTTGAATTTGGACGCCATTTTGATTAATTATGTATTTAAAAAGTTGAAAAATAATTATTGGCATATCTTACATATATTTCCTTAAATTTGTGATATCTACTCAACTCTTCCATATTGGTAGACTTCATCAAGAGTTTAATATTGTAATACCAGTAAGTTATGTCGGCCATCTTAAATTTGGCGGACATTTTGGATTTTTTTTCGTGGCTCCATATCTGAATTTTGTTTATACCCCTTAACCTTTCATTATTCCAAGTTTCATGCTTTTACCATAAAGTGATAAATTATTCTTATATCCGCTGGACTACATGTATATAAACAACATCAACATCTTGTTATCTTGCATCTTGCAAAGGAATTGTAAACTATCTGTTTGAGTGGTTTCTTGATTCGTACCTTAATATGATAATAACTGAAAATCAGGTTATTTTAATAGTTTGTACTGTTGTTCATGAAATTCAAGAAGTTTGAAGCCCTAAAACTGAAATTGTATTTTTGTATTCATGTTTCAGAGTATTTGGAACGTTCCAGTGATACTTCAGTGGTTGGTAAGTACAAATTCATTCAAATATATGTGATCTATACGAACTACTTTCCTATTTGAGGCATATGCAAGCAATAAAATGAGAAAATAAGTTTTAGTAGAATCTTGCTTAAATGTTCCAAACACCAATCAATGAAATCAGATTCTTTGCATGAACACTCCTGCAGACTTTAAATTCATGGCAATGCAGGGGAAAAAGGCTGGTACATATATATATGTTTTTCTAAGTTATTAACCGAGTTTGGGGACTGAAAACTAGAATCTATAAAAAACGGAAGTATCTTTATCGTCATATTCACGTATCATATTTTTTTGCAAATTTTTCGTAGTGTATATACAGATTTCTTGTTGACGGTAAGTGCTTACAAGTAAGCTACTGACATACGAATTTTTAATTGCGAATTTGAAACCAACATATCGAATGTTTTTCTAGTGTCATCATAAATAATGTCATCCTTTTCTCAAATGCACCAAAGCAATTGATGATTTTAAATTTCTTGTAATGAGCGAAATGACGGGTACCACTAGTGGAGCAGCATCTATTTAACCTTCCCGATTACCCGAGTTCACCTTATGTTTCTTTTGCTGGACAGGTGCACTCGAATCATATCTAAATTGACTAGGATTGTCAGTTTTCCTACCGAAGGTCGGTGGTTCTGTTCGAGCACTCCAGTCCGACTTCCTCCATCAATAAAAACTGACGGTCACGAAATTGCGTAACAGTGTTGAAAGTGGCGTTGAACATCAATTAATCAATCAGTCTTGAACTATTTCGTTTTTCAGTGTATGTGGTGTTTATATATCCTTTGTTTCTAAAAGATTGTTTTTAAACATTCATATTACATGTTTTATGTCATTTCTCAAGGTTACAAATATGTATGTACTGGTGGTTATATATAGATTATCATGTTACGGGTAGATAAGATATATGTTTTAATTAACCATTTTGTATGTTGCATCAAAATATAATATTTGTCGTGTTTTAAGAAGAGTAACACAAAACACATCTCTAAAGGAACGTTTTTATAGCTATAAATACGTTACCATCATAAATTCTGAGTGTAACCCCAATTGCGTCATAGGTCAGATGGAATATCCCGACTAAAAATAAACGTACTCTCACTGGTCCGGACATATACCCCTGTTTGCCCATATTCTCCCATTCAATTTCCATCTGCGACATCGGTCACACGTGTAAATTATTACAGATTCAACAGAGAAGTGTTTAGTTGTTTGTAAAGTGTTTTGAATAGCTTAATTGCTTTTCATATATTGTGTATATTATTAGAAATTTATTTCCTTGTTTAGTTTGAATTTCTAAACAAATTAATTGTGTTTTTTGACTAAAGTATATTTTATTATGGACTTAAATTTGAATACTAGTAGTCCTTACGTAAATATTCCTGGTTCGGACTATCTCCTGGATGGGTCACTACCTTTAAGTCCCCCCACCAAACTACCAGTACATTGACCGTAGTTTCGACAACGGTGTCTGGTAATGCTACCTATCCGACCCTTTCACAAGGTTTGGCCATGTATTTGGGGGGGGGGGGGGGGGGGGAGGCCTGTTAATTCATCAGGTACTATTGGTTCTGTCCCTGGTACAGCTATGGGCTTGAACTCAAGACCCCCATTATCCTATTGTGGGTATATGCTTCCCAACTCGGGCACCCAAACTTTAACCTCATGGTCTCAGCCACCTTGGCCACAGTCTTATCCTTATGGTGGGTTTATGCCAAACCAACTTGGTTTTTGACCTTTTAGGGACAATTTCTATGGTCCCTCTTCTGGGGTAGCTTCTACTCCATCTTTAGCTTCTGATCCACCCGTAGCAGTATCTTTGACTCCTGCAGTAGCTCCTTCTACCACCGTACCTGATTCTCGACCTCAGTCTTCTAGCTCTTCTCATGGTACTCAGGGTTCTGATCGTGCATCATCTTTAGATGGTTTTCAGAAGTTATTTTTTGGACTTTGGTGAGTCTTTCAAGACTGAATTTAGTACTCTATCCAGTCGTATGTCTCTACTGGAGAATAGAGTTTCTTCTCATCAACCTAAGTCTGTAGAATATGATGAGAGGGAGAATGACGAGCTTTTTGTTTCCCTTGGGAGTCATGAAAGGGCTTTCTTCACTGATGAGGATGTTGAAAGTTCTGCTTCTCCCAAGGTATCGAAGACGGCCCCTGAGCCTTCTTCTAAGTCAGCTCAACAACCTCCCACCAAGGAGACTGAGGATCCTCCATCCTTGAAGGATCTTAGGGATAAGGTGTATACATTGATGAGGGATGAAGCACATATCCCTTTTGCCTCTTCTTCCAAGCCGAAGAAACCTTCTTCAACTTTTGTAGCTTCCTGTGGTATTTCTCAGGATACTGTGACTTCTCACAATTCTTTTCCTGAATCTGGCCATATGGCATTTGCTTTACAAATTATTAATGAAGGTATCGCTAATTCTGCTAGTGAAAAGGTTGCTAATAACAACATCTCTGGATTTGGAATGTCATTCTTTTCTGATCAGGTTAAGTACAAGGATTTTGATATCTTTGATTCTTCACTGGGTAGACTTGTTCCCAGTTGTGACAAATCTCTTTCATCTTTATTGGGCAAAAGCCAGTAGATGGTCTTCGTCTCACTCAACCTGTTTGGTCAAAGACTGAGAATCTCCTTCGTAGTGCTTCTCGAGTTCTTGGCACAGCCGAACATTTTCTTGCTGCAACCGGACATTTGCTTAACAGCGAAGTTTCGATTGTTCCAGCAGAAGTACGATCCTTCTTACTTCAACTGGATAAAGCTCTAGGTTCATCTCAGTTGCTTTTAATGGGTTCTATTGATAATTGCAACCTATTTAAAAGAGCAGAGTTTCTTGAAAACATTTCTGTTGCTGAGTCTTTGAAAGGTTCTTTACTGAAATCTCCACTTACTGACAAGATGTTTGGTTTACCCGTACAGCGGGTTCAAGAGGAACTCAGCAAAAACCCTCTTCCAGTCAAAGTTAGTGTACAAGTTAACAATGGCAAGACATCGGTTAATGCTACATCTAGTTTTACTAGTACTTCTGCTTCAGGTGGTCTTCCTTTTTCTGCTAAGAAAAGGAAGAATAACTACGGCAAACCGCAGAACAAATCCCATAACTCCGGTAAAAGCTCAGGTAAGCCTTCTGGTGGTTTTAAGGGTCCCAAGAAACGTGGGTCTAGTACCTAGGTTCTTGCCCCCTCGTACGTTATTGACAGCTTCCCAGGGGAAAATTTACAACAAGTTCCTCAAAAATCAATACTAGTAGGGGGAGGTTCAGTTTTTTCCTAAATCAGTGGAAGAAAATTACCTCAGACTGTTATGTGCTGTCAATAGTTCGAGGGGGATTAACACTTCAGTTCAAGAACCCACCTCCTCTGTCTGCAGTTCCGATAAGTTTGTCTCATACTCAAGACCCAGTCAAGTATCAACTTCTATCAGTAGAAGTGGACACAATGTTACAAAAATCTGCAATAGAGGAGGTGTCGCTCTTAACTCTTTCTCCGGGATTTTATTTCCGTCTTTTTCTGGTTCCAAAGAAGACGGGAGGAATGAGGCCGGTCATAGACCTATCTATTCTGAACAACTTTCTTATTGTTCCCCATTTCAAAATGGAAAACAACAGATCAATCAGGACTTTAATCCTTTCAGGAAAGTGGACTACTTCTATGGATTTTTTAGATGCTTATTTCCACATTCCCATTTCCCATACTTACAGGAAATACCTTCGCTTCGTTTGGAACAATAAAGTTTTCCAGTTCAAGGCTCTCCCTTTTGGCCTGTCTACAGCCCTTTTGGCTTTTACCAAAATCATGCAGGCAGCTTTAGCTCACATACATTCCCTGTCTATTCAGATTCATTCCTACCTGGACGATTCCCTTCTTAAGGAATTTTGCCAAATCAAATTGAGGGTTCAGACAGATTTGGTCATCAATTGTTTTCTGTCCCTAGGCTTCCTAATCTCCTGGAAAAAGTCAGAGATAGTTCCTTCTCAAGACTTTGTTTTCCTGGGAGAACATTTCCCAACCAATCTAGGCCTAGTTCTCCCACCAAAGGAAAAATTTACAAAACTATGTCAGAAAATACATTTATTCCTGACGGTTCAATCAGTCACAGCACGTCAATTCTTGCAACTTCTGGGTCTATTGAATTCTCTGGCAGATGCAATTCCATTGGGACGCCTTCACATTCGTCCGCTTCAGTTTTATCTGCACAAGTTATGGATACCAGCTTCACAAGAATGGGAAGCATTGATTCCAATCACTCAGCCTTTATTTCCACATCTTCAATGGTGGTTAGTGCGGGAAAATGTAATGAGGGGCCTATGTCTGTCCCCTCAAGTTCCCAGTCTAACATTATTCACAGATTCCTCCACCCTCAGTTGGGGAGCTAACTGGAGGGGCTTACAATCTAGGGAGTCTGGAATTCAGATCTTTTGGAAGAGCATATCAATGTATTGTAAAATGAAAGCAGTTCTGCTTGCACTGAATCATTTCCAACTGTCTCTAAAGAATCAGTCTGTCATTCTGGCCACGGACAACAGTTGTTGCTTATCTCAAGAATCAGGGAGGAACTCATTCACCTTCTCTTTATTAGATAGCCAGAGACATTCTCCTTCTGTGTTTTCAACTCCCGGTTCATCTAGTGGTGAGACATATTGCGGGGCACCTCAATATTCTAGCCGACACTCTATCCAGATCCCTTGTTCCAGTAAACACGGAGTGGGAACTACTTCAAGTAGTTTTCAAAACTGTGACTCTTCATTGGGGGTCACCTCAGATAAATCTGTTTGCGACCAGTCTCAATCACAAACTTCCAACATTTGTGTGTCCGGTTCCAGATCCAAAATCTTTTGCGGTAGATGCAATGAGCCTATCGTGGAAAGGAATGTTCGGGTACGCCTTTCCTCCTTTCAGGTTTCTCTCCTCAGTACTTCAGAAAATAGCAGGGGAAAATTGCAAGATCATAGTTATTGCTCCAGCATGGCCGAAACAGTCTTGGTTTCCAGACCTTCTGCGCCTATCATGTGCTTGTCCTCTAGTTCTACCTCTGAGACCAGACCTTCTGTCTCAAATCAAGGGCAAGGATCTTTATCAAAACCCAGAAAAACTTCATCTACACGCCTGGCTTGTCTCAGGGTTAGCCTCAGAAAGAGAGGTTTTTCTGAAGGGGCAACCAAGCATCTCACAAAGTCTGTCAGAGACTCCACTAGCATTGTCTATGATGCAAAGTGGTCAATCTTCTCAGGCTGGTGTAGTGAGCGGGAAATTGATCCTTTCCAAGTCACAGTACAACAATTAGCAGACTTTCTAGTTTTTCTTTTTGAATCCAAAGGATTATGTCCCTCTACTATTAAGGGATATAGATCAGCTATTTCAAGAACTATTCATATTTCTGGTGGCCCAGATTTTGGAAACAATGAGCATATTTCTCTTTTGGTTCGTAGTTTTAGTCTTGAAAGACCAAGACAAAAAACTTTAGTTCCTAAGTGGGACCTTGGACTAGTTTTATCCTTTTTAAAACTTCCTCCTTTTGAACCAGCAGAAACAATAGATTTAAGGTTTTTTCCTATAAACATGATAAATGCTGTTTTCTTTTATCTTTGGCTTCTGGACGGAGAAGGAGTGAAATCCATGCCTTCTCTATTTCTGATGCTTGCCTTCGATTTAACAGGGATAAATCTTCTGTTATTCTTTTAACTGATCCTGCTTTTTTGGCAAAGAATCAGATTCCGGATAAGGGTGCAGAACCAGTCGTGATTCCTGCGCTCCCTAGCGATTCTATTTCTGTACTTTTATGTCCAGTAAGAATCCTTTCTATTTATCTGGATAGAACGAGTAGTTTACGTTCTGTTTCTAACTCAAGACTCTTTATTCCTATTAAAAAAGGAATCTCAGATCTTTCTGTTAAAACTATTTCTACTTGGATATGCAAATGCATATCTTTAGCTTATGGTTCTTCTAAGGCAGAACTTTTGAATAGTTTTAATGTTAAAGCTCATGATGTTAGGGGTATCTCTACATCCTGGGCTCCGTTTAACAGTGCATCTTTAGGAGAGGTACTGTCTGCAGGTTTCTGGAGAAATGAGAACTCTTTTATCTATCATTACCTCCAATCTATGGCTACTTTTACCGAGAGTTTATACTCTCTTGGACCTCTAGTTTCAGCACAAAGATTGAACTTTCCTCCTGTTTCTTCTGTTACAGGGGATTCAGCTTTACGTTAGATTCTGTTACTCAGAATTTATGATGGTAACGTATTTATAGCTATAAAATATTCAAATTTTAAAGTAAATTTGGATTTTATTAGATAAGTACTTACCATCATAAATTATAGGTCCGTCCCTCCTCCCCTTCATCCCCTTTCCTTACGTTTCTGTCTTGAGGAAATTGAATGGGAGAATATGGGCAAACAGGGGTATATGTCCGGACCAGTGAGAGTACGTTTATTTTTAGTCGGGATATTCCATCTGACCTATGACGCAATTGGGGTTACACTCAGAATTTATGATGGTAAGTATTTATCTAATAAAATCCAAATTTACTTTAAAATTTGAATATTTTCTGACCATTCTGAAGGACTTGAGTACGAGCTCAATTTTATATGGTCTCGTGTTGCATAGTCGTTAGTTCCCAGTGAAGTGTTTTGTGTTGACTTGTTTTTCCGTATTTTTTTTGCCCCCTCCCTCCAGCGTTTTACAAAAATTGAAAAGATACAAAAGGGTGGCAATAACAAACAATTCAAAATGTCTGATGTCTAAAATGTCCATTTCCCCCAAAACTATAAATTAAATGATGATAATCAAAGTGATATCTTGCACTCCACACAACGACACTATATATTCGTTAATGGAATGGAACATGTAAGTGATACTATAGGATGACCTTCTGTTACTATTATAAGTTTCTTCAACAGGTGATTGTTACCCAAGTAGAGAAACACCTAGCGAGGAAGGTGAGATACATATATTTATTAAACTTGAATTTTTATAACTTACTGTAAATGTCTTGCCCATTAGTTTCCGATCGAATGTTATAATATTATATGCCAACGAAAGTCTGATAATTTTGCAACATTAAACATGTTAAAGAAGGCGTTTTCTCCAGCGATTTTGTTGATTCATGACGACATTGGATAGCGAAAATTAATGAAATTATATCACATGCTCTCCTCTTTTTTTTCCCCTCAAAATTTAGAACTGATTTACTTTATCCTCTATGTACACACGAATCTGCTTTAAATGTACATCATAGTATCCTGTCTTATTTTTTTAAATTACCTTGCGGTACCGGAGTCTTGGCACCGTGGACATCTGAACTTTACCATAGTGTCAGCCAACTCTGGTGTCAAATCTATTCAAGCTCCATGGTACCACTCATCACAGAAATCACACTGTATCATAATCAGTTCATCATCTGGTTTTCTGCACAAACAGTATAAGTCTTGATTAATTGCCTTTGTTATATCTTCACCGTCCTGCAATCGGTGCTGGCACTGTTTTAACCAGGGTGGTACTTCTCTGTCTTTACATGGCTTTAAACGGTCATGATTTATTGTCAGTAACGTCTTTTGTAATTTTATCTTGTACACATACGAAGATAATTTGGCACATACAAGTCCTGGACCTTTCCAAAGTGGTTCCAATTTCTTCGCCCTACCTTTAATTTTTGCCGTGTCTAAAACATAAACTAAGTCTCCTTTTTTGTATTCCTTCTCTAGAATATGTACATCATAATCACGTTTCATGGTATTCTGTGTAGTTTTTAGCGTGTTGCGCACTATTTCATGTGCAGATGTTATGGCATCTCTGAGTCTTTTCACATACTCATCTTGTGACTCAATTGTTTTAGCACCAGGTACGCTGTACAATAAACCAACAGGCTGGTTAACCTCTCTCCCAAGCATCAGCATGTTTGGCGTAAAACCAGTACTTCTGTTAACTGACGACCGGACAGCTCCTGCCAACTGTGCCGAATGTTCATCCCAATTGCCTGGTTGTTTAGAAACGAAGCAACGGACGGCGTCCATTAAGGTTCTGTTGCAACGTTCTGCTTGTCCGTTTGATGATGGTCTGTACGGAGTAGTTCTCGCTTTGTGCATTTGCCAGATTTCACAGATGGATTTGAAAAGCTTACTTTCAAAATTGCGTCCTTGGTCCGTAAAAACATGAAATGGAAATCCAAAACGAGAAAAAAGCTCGTTCACAGCAGCTCTTGCCGTATGTTCTGCAGTTTGCGCTGGCAACGGAACACATTCCATCCATTTGGAAAACTGATCAACCATTACTAGTACATGTGCATTCCCAAATTTCGTCTCTGGCAGTGGTCCCAGAAAATCCAAGTGGACACGCTCCATCGGTGCACCTGCGTGAAACTGCGTTAGCGGACATTTTGCTTTCCTGTTCGGCTTCTTATGTAAATTGCACGTACTGCATGTTTTGACAAAGTCTCTAATTCGTTGTGTCATACCATACCATTGATTTTTTGCCTTGATTCTCAATGTGGTTCTATTGAATAGTTCATACCTTGGTGACCTGCAGCAGGAATATCATGACATAATGCTATCACTTATTCAACAAGATCTCTTGGTACCACCAGTCTTGGTGTTTTGTCCTTCTTGTCCAAATTTCTCAATATTCCATTATCATCTAAGTAGAACATATCTTTGTTGATCCAATATTTTTTAGCTGTTGGACTGCATCTGAATATTGTAGCCTCTGATGGCTCTGTTTTGTCCCTAAACCATACCAGTATTAATTCCAAGTCTGGGTCTTTAGACTGGTAATCTCGTAATTGCTCGGGTGAATAAGTACTAGCTTCTATATCTGTCTCAGTAATGGCATTTACATTTGGGAGGTCCAAATATGTCGCGTAAACTGACATACCAAGCGGTGTAGTGAATATTTCAACTGAATTGTGACAAACATTTTGGTTCTGGCTTACTTTATCTTGGTTGGTACTGTCAAATGGTTGTTGCTGGTCCTGAGATGTACCTAAATTTCCATTAACGTGACTTGTCACGTTCTGGTCCCCCTCTTGAGATATTGAACAATCCTTTATAATTACATTTGTATGTTGTGCAATGTCCTGTTTCAGTAAATTGTTCTCAGAAATCAAAGAACTCGGTAGTACTGTAAGTGGTATTATGTGGTTGCCCATAACTTTTACAGTCCTGATGTGAAGCTAACGGAATAACGTTATCTACGTCTTCTTGGAAACCAAGCCAACTTTGGTGAGCACGAGTACAATAATCGCATGCTCCGCAGGGTAGATTGTGTTTTAGCACGTTCTCAGCTGCTCATCTATTCTGTGTACGGGCTAAATCTGGCAGACGTGATAATGCGTCCGCATTTTAATGTCTTTTTCCTCGCCTGTGCTTCACTGTCATGTGATACTGGCTTAGCCCCTCTTACCATCGAGCTAGTTGTCGTTGTGGCTCTTTAAAGTGCAATAACCATGTTAAACTACTATGGTCTGTACGGACTATAAACTCTCTCCCTAAAAGGTTATGTCTGTATTGTCTGGTGAATTTCACTACTGCAAGCAATTCTTTTCGTGTCGTGCAGTATTGTTTTTGCTCATGGGTTAATGAAAAACTTCCGTAGGCAACGGGACGCTCTACACCATCTTGTACTTGTATTAACTCTGCACCAATTGCGAAATTGGAAGCATCTGTGTCCAAAATAAACGGATCTTTATTGTTGGGTAATGCCAATAAAGGAGTTGTTGTCAATGCCTCTACAAGCCTGTCAAAAGACTCTTGCTCAGAATCTCCCCATTTGTACGGTTTCTTACCGGTCAATTGATACAAAGGGTAGGATAAATCTGCAAAATTCTTTATGAAAGTTCTATGATAATTAGCAAAGCCAAGAAATTGTTCAACCTCTCTTGTTGTAGTAGGTTCTTTCCATTTTTTAACAACTTCAACATATTCACTGCCAATTGCCATACCATCTCTATTGATTGTTCTGCCTAAAAATTCTATTTCCTGTTTAAAGAAATCACATTTCCTGGGTTTCAATTTTAGCCCATACTCCCGGAAACGTTCAAAAACTGACCTCAAATTCTGTAAATGGTCTTCAAATGTCTTTCCCATTACTAGAATATCGTCCATAGGCGAGTACAACATTCCATGTTAAACCTCGGAGAACGAGATTCATTACTCGTGAATATGTCCCAGGGGCGTTGCAAAGGCCAAAACTCATTCGGACAAAGTGGAATAATCCATATTTAGTGATGAAGGCGGTCTTTTCCTTGTCTGAGTCCTTCAAATTCATCTGATAATATGCACTATAAGCGTCCAATTTTGAAAACCATTCGTTTTCCGCCAAAGTGTCCAAACATTCGTCTATCAAGGGAAGCGGATATACATCTTTTTTCGTCACTGAATTCAACTTCCGGTAATCAATGCACCAGCGCAAGGTGCCATCGCGCTTGCGCACAAGTACTGGGGCAGATGCCCATTCTGATATAGATGGTTCTATTATACCTGCATCTAACATTTTCTTTAAATGGTTTTCTTCTTTGTGTGCAAAACACATGGGTGTTTGTCTTATTCTTTGTTTGATAGGGCGCGCATCACCTGTATCAATCTCGTGTTCAATGTGGTTAAATGTTCCTAAGTCAAAATCAACTAGTGCCAAAACATCAGCAAATTCATGAAGTAAATTTGCAACTTTGGACTTTTGGTCTTCAGCAAGTGTACTGGATTTATCTAATATGTTCTGCAACTGTTCCGGTAGTTTATTGTTATCGCTGGCTGTTCCAGTTGTTGCTACTGACGGGGCGTGCCCCATTGAAGGTGTTACCTTGATTTTGCTGGCTAAATGGTTGGACTGCTGGCTGGAATTCATTTTGTGTAGGAAACTGTTTTGCCTGTTGTTGTTTTTGAAGGTGCTGTTTGAGGTCTCCATTTTCCTGCTTATGAAATGCTTCCATAGCAGTCATCTTTTCTAGCAATGTTTCCATTTGTTTAAACAATTCGGACTTTGTATCTGTCTTACTAATGGCGTGAACAGCTAGGTCGCTATCATAATCATAACTTGGTTCATCCTGATTTGGTGTTGGGTCACGTCTACCGGTTGGTTTACCAAATATAGCTGTGTGGTTATGTTGGAACCATTTTATCTGATCAATTGCTGCTTCAACAGATGTTGGTCTGGCTGTGGCTCCATGTTGACCAGCTTCTTTATCTGAGCATCCCTGGCATATTTTCCAGATAGCTTGTGTATACATATAACTGTCGGGAAGATTTCTAAAGGCTTTACAGGCTAACGAGAGAACTCGGTCTGCCCAATCCTCCAATTTCTCATTTGTATTTTGTCGTGCACTCATGACTGAATTTGCAAAGTCTCTGGTAAATCTTGAAAATTAAACATTTTCTCTAATTTGTGAATTAAAACAAAATAATCCACACCTTGGTCCCTGTCAATTAAATTTGCATATAGTAATCACCTGCTTTACCATGTAAACACCAACAAAGTTGGTCTTTTCGTTCCGTGGTAGTCCACGATAAACGATCAGCATACCTTTGAAACTTGGTGTCAAAAGTTTTCCAACTTGATGATCCATCATACTTCAGTCCTTTTGGTATTTCTAGGTTCTTTGATTTTGGTTTAGCTGGATGCATTAATTGTGGTGACTCCTCATAACTCAAAAATGGTCTTGGAGAATACATATTTCTGTTTATTGTAGAAGAATATGTTGGATTTGGTGTTCTCAAGGAATATACTGGTTTCCTAAATATTTCTGGTGAAGGTATTCTGCGACGGATTTCAGGTGAAGGTATTCTGCGTCGGATTTCTGGTGAAGGTATTCTGCGACGGATTATAGTTGATGGTGTATGCGATTCTAACCGTTGATTACGTCTTGGGACTGGAACTGGCCTTTCTGATTTAGGTTTGTGCTCATCGGGCCCTTGCTGCCATACCAATTGTGATGTCTGCTGTTGTGTATTTTGGTTACGTGAATAATCACGTTTTTCAATGTCTTGCTCAACATTTAATCTGGTACGTGGTTTAATGTACCCTAATTCATCGGTTCGTTGAATGTTGTCTGGCTTAAACTGTCGATCACTTGAAAAATCTTGAACTTTATCCTGGTCATCATACTTGGTTTGTAGTAATGGTTTTCTTTCATCAGGTCTTGACAATTTTGTTGAATACTGGTGGTCCCCATGCTGCAAAGTGTAATTTAATGGCTTGCTTATCGCTGAACTGGGACGTGATAACTGACGTTTGACTTCCTCAGGCTCAGGTTTAAGCAAACATTCATCAGAAGGTGTGTCAGAATCTGAAAAGTCATTGTTTTCTGCTTCTCGTCTTGCATATTCCGAATGAAATCCAGATGTCTTAACTTCACCATAATCAACATAGTCCTATAAATCAAAACTTGACTGAGTCCGTGATTTGCATTCTTGTTGCTGTGTAACTGGTGAAAAATCTATTAAATCAGCAAGTCGAAGTCTTGGTATTTCAGAAAGATGCTCAAGCTGAATATTACCATATGTCTCTCTCAAAGAGATAATATTGTCAGCTGTGACATTTCCAACACCAGGTAACAACAATAATTCTTAAATAAGTACAGCTATTAATCTTTGTACGTTCCTTCTGAAAAGCTAAGTCTGCGATTATGTTATGATAACAAAAATACAATTCAATAAAACCACTGGTTGCTGAACCAGACAAAAAAATTAATGTGAATGTGCTATGTGGCTTACCACAGAAAAAAAAACCGGCTAATTTTCTCTGAAAATGGCTAATTCTTCTAATTTGCTCTGATAACGGCTATTTGACTAATTTCCACGCAAAAAGGCTAATTTTAGCAAAACGTGAAACAATTATCGAAAGTAAATTTTGTAAACAATGTAATAAACGCAAGCTTTTTATGCTTATATTATTTCCGTGTTCAAACACTTCATAATATACCAAATATAGCAATATTAACTTCGCAATTTCACTTCTGTGTCTCGATTAAATCGTCCTTTTTAACACAGGAAACCCTGCTCGCCAAGCGCCAGTTATGTGATTTCCGAGTATTATCACCCAATACTAATTCTAATAATACAATGCAAAGTCTCTATAGATACTAACTGACCAAATATCCTCTGATATGTCTCTGGTAAAGTGTTATTCGTTGCGTCCTTATTCCCGCCAATACGCCAACTCTCGTTACCTGGTAGCTATCCTGAGTTGGGTAGTTTACAATGGATCATACCCAACTACCGTACTGTCTACATAGTAATTTCACGTCCATTATACCATATCACACAACACCGTATAACGAATTTTTAGATTCATCGCTGATATGTTTCTCAGGATTAACAAATCAGGCCTTCATGAAATTTCATATCAAGCTGCATGTGAGCATGCTAACGTGTGTGATTCATTTTGAGATTCATCGTCCAAAATGTTCCTGTTTATCAAATACTTGTGTTTTCTTTTACCTAATGGCAATGTGCGAATTTTCGTCGCATTTTCCCATGAACTACACACCAAGGCCTTCTGAAATTTGGAATCTAGCTTCATGTGACCATGCTATACCTTGTGACTGTTTAACATCAACCACTCATCAACTTCCTGTTTACAAAATACTTATAGTTGGTGTATCAGTAGTGAACAATAGGTCTTAGTTTTACTTGTTTTAAAACTGCAAACTGTTAGACTTACTAAAGCAGTGACATGTACTACCCTTCCGATACACATCTTAGCATGATTAATGTTGCTCAAACTTCCCTTTTGTATTGTTTTGTGGGTTGTTCGTGCAAAACATAAAAAAATATAACAAAGTAAACAAAACAAAACAAAAACAAAAATGACAAAAAAAATACAATTAACCTTTGACGCACTTCTCGATACAAAATATAAAACCTTATTAAGAGAGTATTTTCCAGAATTTTTGTTTAGAACAATTTAGTTTCATGCATATGGTACTTAATCTCCTACTTGAATTCGCATTGCTATACGAGTTGATGTGTTTCCTTCGGTTTTAGTTTGTTACCCGGATTTCTTTTTCCTTAATCGAATCGACTATTGAACAGCGGTTTACTACTGTTGCCTTAATTCAGCAAAAGATACAAGGGCTATCGATCCATAAAGATCATTAGTAATAACAGTCTACGTCATTTGGTCTCGGACGGAGAGTTATCGCATTGGCAATCATACCATATTTCATATTTGTATAAGTATTTTATAGTATCAATGATTTACAGGTACATCTCATCAAAGACAAACAAGCACACGAACCGAAGGTAAGTGGGTAGAACTTACATACCGAAAAACATGTTAATACGCCTTTATTAAACTCCTAAATATATAGTTATCGAGGATAATAACACATTACAGCGCATAACACAGTAAGCACAATTGTCATTTTGAGGTTAAAGCACTAGAACATGTCTCTGAGATGTCTTTTGTGGTTGTCTCTTCTGTCGGTGTCTTAATTCGACTCACCAATGTCTAGGCATCTGTTGGTAATGTTGTTCCAAAGATTAGCAACTCTTTGGTAGTTGAATTCATTGGAGTCTTGTGTTGATACCATCATCAGAGCATTGTACTTTGTCTTGCTTTGCAGATCGCTTCATGATTACCGCTAAATGTCCAGCATTTATAACAAATCATGATTTTGATAAAAAATAATCAACGATCTTCCGTCTTTATTGAAACTACTGTTTAGCAATGTCATCTTAGGACGATTCAACGTCAGCAAATTGGCAAGTTCAGATTTCGTTCACAGTTTTTACAATTACTTTTTTTATCAACTAATATTGACATCATTAAGATAACAATGTCTAATCATCACTTAAGGAAATTGATTATAGATTGATAACGTTTCTTTACCCGGATGGAGGAAAATACAACAGTTATATATTTTGGATTTTTCGGATTTTATTTACTTCATAATTATACCGCAATGTTCAATTAACATTTTTGTTGTTTCAGAAATATATAAATCTGTTTAAACATGATTAGTATAGTCATTATATGGCCTAAATAATAAAGTTCTTCATTTCAAAATTATGTTATGTCTACAGATATATGAATAGGGTAATATATAATTTGGTCACTTCAGTTGAGAAAAGTGAGTTGAGCTGTCACTATGGCGTTCTATATGTGTTGAAATTGACGTTTTTGAAAAAAAATCATTGTGCACAAAACTCTCGGTAAGATTAGTTATGAGAGACAACGCCTTACCTAAAAAGATACTTTGCCCTTTAAAACATTTTTACATAAGATATCAAGTTGTAAAATATCGTTTTTGGGGTAAGCCGTGTCTCATATTTAATATTAATGACTAGATCTCAAAATGGTGCTATTTTGGTAAATTCTGACAATTTGCAAGAAATAATAAGCTATAAAGCAAATACCTGTGACACTGTAAATTCAAAAAATAATAAACTTACATCTAAAGGTTAATGTCTTGTGAACATCTAAATTTAAATAGATTGATGATACTTTTTTATTTTGAATTCAAAGGTCCAAAAAGTTGCCTAATCATATCTCCTTTTTTAAAAGAAACGATCAGGACTAAGGAAGAAATACAGTGAATAAACCTCTTAGAAACAAAGGAATGTAAACTGCATTTGTTTAGTCAAATTTAACCATTTATTAGATCTAAACTATCACTGGTGAACTATCAACCAAAAGTAGTAATATCCTTCTATAAACAGTGCTTCAGTATCGGCATGATTTGAACTATATATTTTAAAACTGTTAAAGTGAGCTAAAACTTTCTAGCGTTTTCATATTTATGGCTTTTTAAACTTTGTAAGCTTCTACGTCATTTGGTCTCTGGTGTAGAATTTTCTCATGGCAATTATACAACATCTTCTTACATTTTTAATGTTGTGTTTGTAGTCTTGAAGTACTTGGTGAAATTGTTGTTTGAACTGAAGTAGTACTTTAGAAAGTATTACTGATTATCTCTATTCGTTTTATGTTTTGTCTATTAACACTCATATTTTTTTTTCTTTCAGATGAAGATGACAAAATCCACAGGTTTTTTCTTGAGTTGACTGCATCATGTGGTTTAAAATGGACTACATTTCTTGCAGAACTTGGATACAACCCTAAAGAGCTTTTTCATTTGTCAGTAGAAAAAATGGACAACCATTTTCGCCATTATTTGGCATTTTGGCTTGAAACGGTCACAAGTTTAGGGCAAAACCCAATTACATACTTATACAATGCACTATCCCTGGAACGACACCATGAACTTGTAGATAAATTCAAAGATCAGTTTAATATAAAATGTGAGTTAGATTATTTTTTTTACTTCGAAGTTTAAACTGTCCATGATATTTGCTTCGATATGATTAAGAGGACATATTTGGTAATCACTCGCTTGACGTCTACCAATAAATCTACAAGAAGACACGTGAAATATAAATATAATGGGGTACAATGCTATTATCAATTGAAAAACAACCCGCAAACATGAAAAAGCAGAAACGATGCATAGAGATCAACACGAGGTCATCTTTTAATATACATTGACTATGGGGGAAGTCTATATATAGGGTCATTAATGTAAATATAGCGACTGTCGAAAATTTATATATTGCTTATCATATGGCGAATATGTACATGAATCATTTCTGGTTTTTAATCTTCCTTATGTAAATTTTGTTTAATTCGTGCTTTTTCACGTTCCACAGATATACTTTTATGTAAATTCATGAAAGCGCTTTGATTAAATTAAACAGGTATGTTTGCTTTTATTCATTTGAGAATGCCTATCAAACTTTCGGTTCTGAGCTTTCCTGCGTTTAATCTATAATTTTGCCTCTCGGAGTATCTATGATCAATATTTATGTGAATCGCTTGCGGTACAGTCACACATAAAGTATGATATTGATGTTATAATTTCTATATCATGTATATAATGTATACGTTTTTCATATTCAAATGCAAAATTTACATATCGTTTTTAGATTCTCCATGTTCACCACCTCGTCATGAGTTTGTTTTACTTAAAGAAAACCTTTTGAAGATTCCTAGTCAAAAAGGTGACTTTACATTTATAGCATTAAATTTATTTAAGTTGAAGGTGAAACCGGAAATAGATTTGTAATGCGTTATTTTCGTTTTTAACACTTATGACAACAACAAGTTATCTACTAGTATTACTTTTCACATATAATAACGCCATTTATTATATACTTAGTAGTAAATACAAGTATATTGTATGTGTAATATCGATATTAGTCACGGTTGCAAAGCCTTTATCAAACCCCTAATCTGTATGACGCCACGTAATCGATATCAGTCACGGTTACAAGGGCTTTATCAAACCCCTTATATATGCTTTACGTCATGTCACGTGAAAAAACATCTAAATCAGTTGTACTTGAGGTACATGTATATAATAAAGTGTATATGATATGGCCTTTTCTATATCACACTCTTTATCAACCCTCAACCAATATAATCCCTCGAGCAGAGCTCTTGGGATTATATTGGTGTCTCGGGTTGATACAGGTGTGATATTGAAGAAGCCATATGATATTCTCCATCTTCATCATACCTAATATTGATTGACATTAAAAACAAATCTTTAAATCATCTGTACAATTTTATATGTTAGTAGATGTAAGAAGATGTGGTATGAATACCAATGAGACAACTCTCCATCCAAGTCAAAATTTATAAAAGTAAAGCATTACAGGTCACAGTACGGTCTTCAACACGGAGCCTTGGCTCACACCGAACAGTAAGCTATAAAGGGCCCTCAAATTTACTAGTGTAAAACCATTCAAACGGGAAAACCAACGATCTAATCTATATAAAAAACGAGAAACGAGAAACACTTATGAACCACATCAACAAACGACAACTACTGAACATCAGATTCCTGACTTAGGACAGGTGGAAACAAATGCAGCGGTTTAAATGTTTTAATTGTACCAAACCTTCACCCTTTTTCTGAAACAATAGTGTAACATCACAACATAGAAAGACACACTATAAAATATCAACTGAAATAGCTTAACTCAATCAAAGGACATATTAACACCATTGAACATACACTGAACAAATAAATTTGACCTATGATACAATGTAAATACAAAATAAATAAACTAAGGGAAGAATAATAAAAGTAACATGTTATATCGGTATGAAATGTTAAACAATTAAAGAAAAACAATCTGCTCGAACAAAAATATCAGCCGTTTGCAATTACTTTAAACACAGGTAAATGAAAATAATTTTGTTGTTAGGTATACGTATACAGTTCCAATAGAGAAAGGAAATATTTTTACAAAATAAATAATTTTGATGTTCATAGTACGAAATGAAAGTTTATAGTAATACCAAACACTTATAAAAGCTGGTATATAGACCAGATATAACCCTGAATAACATTAAATAACAAAAAAGCAATACAATTAGTATCAACAGGTCAAATAAACAAGAAAGTACGATTTGAGAGTACTCGCAGTTACTGACAGCCAGTTAAAAGCCAAAACAATTAATAATAAAAAATCATGCTTCAGAGACTAAAATCAACTAAAACACATCCCAGGGATTTAGTATTTTAACGTCATGGACAGTCAAAGAAGACATGACTAGTGCAATGCCAAAAATAAATGTATCGACAGACAGTAGGATAGTTAGGAGTTTAACCTCTTTATAGATCAAAACGAACGTGGGTGTGTCTTTATACATCCCGTTTGAAAAGAATACAAATTTAGTTATGTTTAATTTGCTGATGACAAAATCGATATTAGTGCCAATGTAAACTATATTCAAAGATCTAATTACAACATTGGTAAGATAACCTTTACTAATAAGTTTGTTTTAAGGTTCGATGAGTTTACACGGATCACATAGTGATTTCCGCGCTTTAAGTACAATATTACCGTAAAATTTAGGATGTGAAATACAGTTTTTAATCAGTTTTCTACAAGTACAGCCAAATTTACTAATCAAATCTTTGTATCTATGAAAGAACTTAGCAAAAGTTTTACGTAATTTATGGTAACGAAATCCCTGATTTAATAATTTACCAGTGATGCATTGATTACGTTCGTTAAAATCTATGACATCACTACACACACGGGCATAACGAACGAGTTGGGATATATAAACACCGTATGATGGAGCCAAAGGAACATCGCCGTCTAAAAAAGGAAAATTAACAATAGGGAATGAAAAATCGTCTCTTTTGTCGTCAATTTTCGTATGGAGTTTTCCTTTAGAGATTGAAATGTCCAAATCCAGAAAAGGACAACTACTGCTGTTTATGTGAGATTTAGTTAAAGTAAGTTCTATTGGGTAAATTTCGGTAGTATATTTAGAGAACTCTGGATTATTTAACGAAAAAATATCATCTAGATAACAGAAGGTGTTGTTGAATGTATCAAACAAATGTAACAATGACATGTCTTTACTGAGTTTGGTCATAAACTGAGATTCATAGCAATACAGGAATAAATCTGCTATTAAAGGGGCGCAGTTAGTGCCCATAGAAATACCTACTACTTGTCGATACACTTTATCGCCGAATTAGGTTTGAATTTTAGAGCTTCACACAAGATAATTTCGTTTCTTTGATTTGCACTATAAGCAGCATAAACTTTAAATTTTAAAATCAAATGCTTTCTAGTAAACAAAGTTTCATTATTTTATAGGAGGAACAATAACTTCTTTGAACAGAAAGGAAGAAATTATGCATGTTGAAAAAGAAATTTGGAGTAATTTAACTGATAGTAAGTAATATATTATGATGACTCACAAGATATCTTAAACCACAATAATAATAATGTGCATGATAGTAATGTCTTCTTTCTTTTATAGGTCTGTGTAAATTTATTAGCTCACATGGCCAACAGGGCCACGTAAGATTTTCTCATCACTTGACGTCTGTCGTCTGTCGTCGTCCTTTAATGTACAAAACTAATAGATAGAAAAGAAAAAGAAAGAAGATCTCCAAATAAGTCAAATGGTCGTAAATGACAGACTACTTTCAGCTAACCTTGCCTTAAAGGTCATGTAAGCTTTTGCCATCTCTTTGCGTCCGTTGATCGTCGTCCGTCCGTCGTTCTGTGCAAACATTTTTTCCAATATTATATATTAACCTATAAAACCACTAGGTATCTAGCATACAGTTTGGTTTTTTTTATTCTTGTCCATTAGGAAACATGACCGCCATGGCTTTGCAGGGGGTATAATGCAGATTTTTGCTTGTATTTCGAAGACTAAAGCAGTTAAAGCAAGACTCCTGGTATCTATGATGAGTTTATAACTGACATGGGTTAAAATTATAAGCATGTTAAGATTTATCTGCCGCAAATTTTTTAGACCAATCGGACAACCATATTTGGTGTTATTATACCCCACGCAACGAGTTACGGAGGGTATAATGTTTTTGACCCGTCCGTCTGTCCGTCCGTCTGTCCGTCCGTCTGTCCGTCCGTCAGTCCATCAGTCCTGTTTCTTGTCATCGCAACTCCTCTCAAACCACACAACAGAATTTAACGAAACCTTTTTAGATAATAAGGACATACTATGTAGTTGTTCATATCGAAAGGAAATTACGATTTAATTTTTTTTCTAGGAGTTACGCCCCTTTGAACTTATTTACTTTAATGTACTACTGCAACAGTTTGTCATCTCAACTCCTCTGAAACCACACAACAAAATTTCATAAAACTTTGTAGATAATAAGGACATACTACGTAGATGTGCATATCGACAGGAAATTACGATTCAATTTTTGTTCCAGGAGTTACGCCCCTTTGAACTTATTTGCCCAATATACTACTGCAACCTTTTGTCATCGCAACTCCTCTCAAACCACACAATAGAATTTCATGAAACCTTTTCAGATAATAAGGACATACTACGTAGATGTACATATCGACAGGAAATTACGATTTTTTTTTTTTTTCTAGGAGTTACGCCCCTTTGAACTTATTTGCTTCAATATACCTCTGCAACAGTTTGTCATCGCAACTTCTCTGAAACCACACAACAGAATTTCATGAAACATTGTAGATAATAAGTACATACTAGGTAAATGTGCATATCGACAGGAAATTGTGATTCAATTTTTTTTCTAGGAGTTACGCCCCTTTGAACTTATTTACTTTAATGTACTACTGCAACAGTTTGTCATCTCAACTCCTCTGAAACCACACAACAAAATTTCATGAAACTTTGTAGATAATAAGGAAATACTACGTAGATGTGCATATCGACAGGAAATTACGATTCAATTTTTTTTCCAGGAGTTACGCCCCTTTGAACTTATTTGCCCCTATATACTACTGCAACCTTTTGTCATCGCAACTCCTCTCAAACCACACAATAGAATTTCATGAAACCTTTTCAGATAATAAGGACATACTACGTAGATGTACATATCGACAGGAAATTACGATTTAATTTTTTTTCTAGGAGTTACGCCCCTTTGAACTTATTTGCTTCAATATACCTCTGCAACAGTTTGTCATCGCAACTCCTCTGAACCCACACAACAGAATTTCATGAAACTTTGTAGATAATAAGGACATACTATGTAGATGTGCATATCGACAGGAAATTATGATTCAATTTTTTTTCTTTTACAATTTTTTTTTCTTACAGTTATTTTATTTCTCCAGTGACAATGTTGGGACGTGGGGTATGTGAGCACGCTCACTAAGGTTCTTTAATTGCCCCTGTAATAATAAATTTACGATTTTTTTCTGTTTTTGGTTTTTATCTTGAACACTTTTATAGATAAAGAGAAAACAGCAAACATGTTCAGCAAGTTAAGTTCTACAAGTAAGTCAAACTGCCCGAAATTGTAAATTGATCTGTTATAGAAGTTGTTGCTTTGAAAGACATTTTTATTAAATTTTCATTTTTTTGTTGTTGAAACAATGATAGATAGAGAGAAACCTTAATTTGCAAATGTTCAGCAAAGTAAGATCTACGAATAACTTAATATGTCCAAATCGTTAATTGATCTTTTATAGGAGTTATTGCCCTTGAAAGACTATTTTTACCAAAAATTAAAATTTTTGCAGAAACTATGATATATACAAGATGTTCTATTTAAGTCAGACCTACAAATTAGTCAGCATGACAGAAATTGTCATCCGACCTCTCTTATAGAATTTATTGGCCATGACAGACGATTTTTACCATTTGTTTTTTTTTTTTTTTTTTTTTTTGCAAAAACTATGATAGATACTGTAACAGATAAACTGTTAATGGCAAAAATGTTAAGAAAAGTAAGGCCTACAATTAGGTCAACGTGCCCGAAATGATCAATCTACTTCTTATAGGAGTTATTGCCCTTGAAAGACAATTTTTACCATTTGTTTGTTTTCTTTTAGACAAATATGATAAACTGAGAGAAACTGTTATATCTACAAATAAGTCGACATTCAATGACAATTTTTGGCTTATTTTGATCTGTCTGTTGTATACAAGATCTTTATAAATGCCATTAAATACGATTTATAACTGATTGCAGTAAAGGTGAACCAAATATCAGAATACCGGAAGTATAATGTTGCAAGGTGAGAGATAAAGGTTCTCGGGAGTCTCTTGTTGTTAGAGTTATTGCCCCAATACTGACGTTTTTTACCAATATTTTGCATTTTTATCCAATATCTTAACTTAAATAGATAGATAGAATCTTTACATAGCAAAAATGATCAGCAAGTCAAGATGTACAAGTAAGTCTACGGGCGAAATCGTCAGTTATCTCCTTATTGGAATAATTGCTCTATAATGGCAATGTTTACCAATTTTAAGAATCAATCTTGAAACACTAGTAATTAAACTTTAGACTATTAGATTAACTAGAAAATAACTAGTATATTTAATTGCTAATATAATGAAACAGATATTCTAAATAATGATTTTGTTGCTTTACTGGTCTTTCTTGTCTAGTTATTAGTTTTTTCTAGTTAATCTAATAGTCTAAAGTTTAATTACTAGTGTTTCCAGATTGATTCTATCTAGGCAGCCTAGTACATTTACCTTCTCCAAAGTAAGTTTTAGTAGAACTTCTAGTGATAACACATAGGATATAAATTTACCAGTATACCTTGTATATAATACTGGTTTCTTTGGGAGGAGGTATTTTTGATACCCAGAAGCATACACAACACCGTAGAAGTGTATAACGACTAATCACACATAATTTGTCATTGCCTGGCATTTTGTATTTTGAAAGCATATATTTATATTTTTAGACGAATTAGAGCAAATCAAGGCATATTTACATAATACTAAGAAAGAAAAGTTTGGCAAAAGGGTACTTCAAGAGATAAAAACCAGTCTTGACTTATTTCGAAAGCTCCATGAAACATGTTTGGTAAATGAGGACAGCTTCGAATTTTTAATAAAAATTCTCAAATTTGTGGGCCGGAATGATCTTATACAGAAAATAATGGCATTGGAAACACCATATTGTCGATTTGAAAAAGGTAGAGTATATATATATAATTTCGCTCAAACCGGTGCTAGGGGCCGTCTGAAACTTGCAGTGAGGTTAAAGCTTCTTCTCCGTGTTGAAAGTCTCACTGAGACCTTTAGATGAAGAACAGCAATAAAAGCGCTGTTCCTTTCCTTTTTGTGTTGTTTGCTGTGCATGTACTGATTTTATGTCATGGTTGGTTTGTTATTTCATAAAATATTTGTATGGCATGTTCTGTTACTCTTTTGTCCTGATTTGTTTGGGGCAAAAACATCAATTTGTTCTAGTCCTAGATATATATGAAATATTTGGTACTGAGCGCAAACAAACAACCATCAGTCAATTAAAATCATCCTTTTTTTTCAGTCTTAAATTTCACATTTCTGTTTTGAATCTAGATTTCGAAAATTTACAAATTTTGTTCTGTTGTTAGAACAGTTTATTCTTCCATCATTATGACAAGACGGTCATAAACTTACTGTCGGAAATACAAAGTTTGTGTATATTTTAACGTAGTTTCACTTAAAAGAACTAATTAAAGACATACACATTTTCCCAACTGATATTTGAAGAATAAACATAATTTTACCGAACCATTAGTTATTTTCTTTGCAATTTATTGTGGTTTTTTGTCATATGTATCTAAATTACATCCTTTTTGTACAAATTATCTGAACACGCAATTTGTTGAAATTTGTTTAAAAATTTCAGTCATTTTACCAAATGACTAGGTATTTTTAGTCATTGAATATAATGCCTAACAAGGATATGCATTTTAGAAAATGCCTGTAACATATCTCTCTCATTTTTGGATTAAATATATAAATATCGTTATACATAGTGTGATTAGTATGATTACTGTGATTTGTAAATCAACAGTTCTTAAAAGATAAAGCCACATCTATTAATTATATAGTTTACATGATCTAACAGTACATTTGAAAGGGTTCTTAATCTCTTTTTCCCAAATACAAGGCAAATATGTTTATTGTACTTCTATATTTCGTTTTATAGATACAGCTAATGTTAAAACAAACCCGTCATCGTGTTATAATTCTTACTCTGATAAAAAAAATACGATGAACCAACAATTTAAACAAGAATGTAAACATGAGGAGAGCTTTGTTTCAAAGTTTGTTCATTCAACTAAAATAATTGAACATAGTATTTCTGCTAAGACCAAGGAATTATGGCAAACTGATTGTGAAGCAAAGGAACTGACAACCAAGTATGAATCATGTCGTCAGAAGATTCAAAAATGTGTAGAAGAACGCATGCAAGTTGAAGCTCAGATAAAAAAGTTGCAATCACATGCAAATGCTTTACAATCTACAGAAACTTCTTTAGGAAGCGATTTAAGTTCACTAGAATCAGATAGAAAAGCAGTAAAGAAATTACATCAGAAGCAGACGTCTGAATTAGATCTGTTTAAAGATACGTTGGAAAAAGAAAACCAATTATACGAAGAAGAATTGGAACAACACAGGAAACAAACATTGGAAAAAGAAAACAAATTACAATTACAACAGAAAAAAAACGAATTGGAACACAGGAAACAAACGTTGGAAAAAGAAAACAACAAAATACAATTACAACAGAAAGAAGAATTAGAAAAGAATCGGATGTGGCCAGAAAAACAAATTCCGAGATATTCCCCTGTCGGTATGTGTATCTTTATTCCGTATTATAAACGAATGTGTTGATGAAAAGTCTTCTTTAGAACCTTTTTGTATTATTATTATTGATGTTACTTATTACCGAAAACGTTTGCCATTGTTGCTAAAATAGTCCGGCCAAAAAGATCATCTAACATGCAATTCATTTTCCACATCTGATGAAATAGTCGAAAATTCCGGAACATTGGTATTCTAGTCTGTCAATTGTAAACAATAAACGAACACGTTAGGAATTTGAGACTGGTTTTAAACATGTTGAAATACTGTGAATGTGTTGTTTTCTTTGGATAGAATCATCAAAGTTTATAGAATGTTCTCAGTTAGTTATACCTCTGTCAGAATGCTATTTAAAAAATATCTAAATTTCCAACAGATCACTGATTATTGTTTGTCGGTTAAATTTTAAATTAATACCTTTATAGTTCCAATTGTATACCATGTAATCAAATTTGTTTTTGATTGTTCATGTTTTGCTTAAAAGGAAAAAGTCGGAATCAATGTCACCACGCAAACTGATTAAACGTTTTTTTATGCATCCATCAATACGATTAAAATGGTAAATACAAATATTAGAAGGATAGTATAGTTCAATTGACTTTTAAGACATTTTATAAAATAAATTATCACACTTAGAGGAATGGGTAATCGGAAATTTAAAACAGAAAATAACAGAAAACTAGTAAACAGTACAAAATAAAAAAAAACAAAACAAAAATGGGAAAGGAATCGTCTGGAAAGAAAAGAATATTAAAAACTACAGATGTCTAACCAAAACGTTACCTCCAACAAAATCTAACGATATTTCAGGGTCATCTTGACATACTAGAAATACATATTTACACGAACTGTTTATGTAGTTTATTTTTCATTAATTTTACAGAAAACGATGGCCCCTTTGAGAATGAGGACAAACCAGGTAAGTTATCACAATAATGACATTTAAATATAAATTACTTGATCAGTGCATACAAATGCAGAATGGTCTATTCTGAAAGATTTTGAATAATGACCTTGTAATCAAAGTTGTGAGATTTACATTGACAGAAGTTGAATTGATAAATTGGTCTATTTGGAAGAATCTAATTTAGATGTTTCTAATTGAATAGATTGAATGATTATATAAGCTTTATTTAAAAGAATGTGGCGAACTTGTTACTGTCGGTGTTTTTTCGAATGTAACTTAGATGTTTTCTAATTAGATAAAGAATGATTATATCAGCTTAATTAAAAAGAAATGTGGCGAACTTGTTAATGTCGGGGTCTTTTATGGTTTACTTTACAGTATGAGATTGGCTTATTGTTGTAGATGGGAGTCTCACGGTGGCCGAGTGGTCTAAGTTGTTCGACAACTGTATCACTAGCCTGTCAACACTGAGGTTGTGAGTTCGATCCCGGTGCATTCGACTGCAATCTTAATTGACTAGAATTGTGAGTTTCCCTACCGATGGTCGGTGGTTTTCTCCAAGCACTTCGACTTTCTCCACCAATAAAAGCTGACCGCCACGAAATAACCAATACCCCCAAGGATGACTAGGAAATAGAATTATGGTCACGTATGTTCTTCTTCCGACCGTCAGTAAACCCTCGCCGAAGTGGGGCGTCCGTTTGACTGTGTGAGATGTACAAGTACGCAGTCACGTCCTGTCAGAATGGGGACGTTTAAGCCGATGCCTCGTGAAGAGAGAGTGTCACGCTCTCTGCCATTAAGAGCCCTTGCAACATCTCTTGGAGGGGTCCGTAGGTGACCTGTTGCAAGGCAAAATTTCTGTCCCTATCCGTTTTACCCTCATTTTCCAGTGGCAGTCAAATTTTCTGCGACCTTCATACTGAACGGCATCTATAAAGGACCTACTTTATTGTTAATTTGTTCTCGTCCTGAACATGCATGAAATATTTGTCACTGGACGTTAAGCAACCAGCAATCAATCAATCGAACTAGCCAATAGCGCTGAAATTGGCGTTATACAACAATCAATCAATCAATCATTGTTGTACGCTGTAAAGTGACCTATAGTACGGTTGCCTATAATTGCCTTCATCCATGTCATTTGATCTCTGATGGATAGTTGGCTCATTGGAAATCGAACCACATCTCCCTTTTTTTATAAAAAGACTTAGTGTGTAATATCGTTTCTTAATTCTTTATATTCAGCCAAAACACTGAGCAGATATGAATCCCACATATCTAGAGACGGAAACGCACAACAAGAAGAAGAAGGTGCGCAAATAATTCCTCAATGTGCTTCCTCTAAAGAGGCTAGAGCTAGACCTCGTAAGTACAGTCTAACACATACAGTTAAGAAAGTGTTACGAATAAAACAATTATAACGTAACATCTATATGTTTCGGAGTTTAGTGTGACGTCCATTTTCTCTGAACTAGTACACTTTTTTGTTTAGGGGCCAGCTGAAGCCCGCCTCCGGGTGCGGGATTTTCCCGCTGTGTTGAAGACCCATTGGTGGCCTTGGGCTGTTTTCCGCTCTTTGGTCGGGTTGTTGTCTCTTTGACACATTCCCCGTTTCCATTCTCAATTTTAACATAGGAATAAAATCAAAATGTAAACTGATGTACAGGATTTAAACAAATACAAATGTATCATGTTTTTTTAATAAGAATAGCCTTATACTTAACACCACTTCTTCGTCTCTCTCATGCTAAAACTCAGAAATAAAGAAACGACAATAGAGAATGATAGCTTTCAATAGTACACAGATGCCCCACTCGCACTATCATTTTCTATGTTCAGTGGACCGTGAAATTGGGGTCAAAACTCTTAATTTGGCATTACAATTAGAAAGATCATATCATAGGGAACATGGGTACTAAGTTTCAAGTTGATTGGACTTCAACTTCATCAAAAACTACCTTGACCAAAAAATTTAACCTGAAGCGGGACAGACGGACGGACGAACGGATAGAAGAAAAAACGGACACACAGACCGAAAAACATAATGCCCTTTACTATCGTAGGTGGGGCTTAAAAAAGGTTTGAATAACACAACTGGATCGTAAAGTTGGTCTAGTTCAACGTATTTCTTATTCAATTATTAGAAATCAGTTTTCACAATATTCATTGCTTAATTTAATAGGACCTGATGTTGTTCCTGGATCTTTTGTTTCCATTGTTATTTTGTGCAATGTGTTTTCATGCTCTCACTTGGTCGTTAAATTGTCTTTATTTCTTTGATATGATTTTTATAGCTTTCTTATTATACTCTTATCGTAATTATGTCCTCCCTTCGATGAAGGAAGACATCGTGTTTTACTAGATGTTCTGTTTCTTACTTCTTTTTAACTCATATGGTTGACTAGGGTACAGAAATATAGATTTTTCTAAAATTTACCCATTCCGGCACCCAATCATTTGCTATAGAAAGTCAACCATTCGGCTCCGGGGATATATACAATTGCAGCCAATTCTGGTCAGAATCGGGAGATTAAATCTGATGCCTCGTGTGGGCCGACTTCCTCGTAATTTGCATATCTAAGGTGTTCGTAAGTGACTCGGAAAGGCAAAGTTTCTGCTCCGATAAAACATACCTTTATTTTTCGATAGCAGTCCAAATTTCCCGCCCTTCATATCGGTCGCCGAAACTTGCAGAACATACTATTTTATGAATGTAAATTTCTTCTCGTCTTGAAATTGCATGAACTAATTGCCACTGGACGTTCAGCAAGCAACAATAGAACAATATTCTTCTGGTTCTTGTTCTCATACATCTTTGTTCGAAACAAACATTTTTTTATCTTTTAATATTGATCATAATATTCGGCAATGAGGTGTAAAACCATAAGCCGTTGTGTAGCATAACATCATGACCTTTATCTGACCTTTACAATTGACCTCAAGGTAAAGATATAATTGATATTTGGGACATTTAGCATCCGGAACATACTTGTTATCTTTTGACACAGCTTTTTGATATTTTGCACATAAGTGCAGCAGTTCAATACGATATGTCGCATATCATGTAAGACTACATCTGATCAAATGTTCTTCCTTGCTATGAAAAGACCTTTCCATTAATACACCTAAAGGTTTGTGTCTTTGGGTCATGCCGTCCGGTTTTATATTTAATTATCAAATATCTCACAAATGGTTCAGATCCCCACCACTGAACCATGTATATTATTAATCGCCAAGAGAAGACCTTTCTAGTTCGCCATAGGTTTTGTCACCAGCAGACTTGCCCCAACCATTCATCTCATTAGTTGTGTTAATCATATATAACAAAAACTGTTCGTTTCTCTTTCCTAAGGCATATATATTCTTAATTGTCATAACAATACCTTTCAAAAACAGGTTTTGATCCTTGAGGTCATCTCCTGCTTTCTTATGTCGTAAATTGTTTAATATATCACAAACCTTTCCTACCCCCACCCCCAAACCATACTTATTATGATCTGTCACCATAAATTTAGGCAACAGATGTTTATCGATGTTCGATTTTCAAAAATCTATTTAGAAGCCAAAACAAGGTAACACAAATAAATTGAGGAAATGGTGATGGTGACGTAAAACCTATGTTATGGCGATGTCAGTTATTCATCCTAATAACTCAGTTGTTGTCGTTCCTTATTAAGAAACATCCGACCTGTAAATGAAGTCGTATAGTGTGAGCGTAACATATAAATTGAGATATTTAAACGCCATACGATGGAACAGAAGGTATGCTACAGCTATAACATGGGAAGTTGACAATTGGAAAGTTGGAATCATCACGTTAGTCATAGATTGTAGAGTCGTCCATCTATATAAATAATCAGGAAAAGATCTATTTGAGGCAGAATTTCTAGTCGGGTAGTATCCCTAATCTAAAGTTCAATGGGATATCGTATAAGTGGTGCACTCATTCATTGAAATGTGGATTGTTTAGTGACAGGACATTATCATGTATTTGAAAGTAAAACTTAAGGAACTTTTTCAAATGATTTTTCTATTTTTTAGAAGGTTTTGTATGAATTCTGTGTCATATGATTACAAAACAAGCCGGCCAGTATTGGTGCACAATGAGTACCATTCGAATACAAACTGGCTGTTGAAATATCAATCCACTAATTCAAAACATTGTTAGGATATTATCGGTGTATTTGCTTATGGAATCAGTGCAGTTCTTCCTAAAGAAAGATTTTAATGACCTAAACTAAGAAATTTGTACATAGATCAACGACTCCCATTTTTGTATAAAAAAACATCTGTATAAAGACATGATGTCAGATGTGTTTGATCTTTAAATTGAGCATGGGTAGTAGGCGTGTAAATCGTATGAAAATCTAAAATGTTAATATTGCTGCAAAATTGTAAAGATTGGGATTAAATATTTTGGAGTAGATTTTTTGAATTTTTAAGAAAGCCACAACTGGTTTACACCGCTGGTTGAATATATACCTTTTCACGATATTTTTGAAGGCCTTCTTTTACTGTAAAAGGAATGGTTGTCGAACATGTTGACGTCACGTATATATCGTTCTTTATTTAATGAATTTTGAAGACCTTTCTAATAGAGATTTTGTCATATTCCATAAGTATTCTTATTTGCGATGGCAAAGAATAAATAAAATATATCGATCTATTCTACTGTTATTTGAGTGTTAAGTGCTTTTTCTGGCAATAATTTATATTGCCTGTTCTTTTGTTCTTTTTGTTAGTCCACTGGTTGAGAAAAGAAGAGGGAGGAGTGAAATCACAAAAACTACTTCAACCAAGCCCCATATGCATGTGTCAGTCATAAGTCAGTTACCGTTTTACATCAGATCTTCATGTAATATATGGATAATTTGGTCTTTATTGAAGATTTTTTTTATTTCTATGTATTTTGATCACAACTTTTAAAGACTCGGGACGATTTGGATCATGACAAATCGTATGGGCATCAGTATTTTAATGAAAAACTGTATGTTCCCCTCTTAATGTTTTTTCGGGATTTTATTTTCAGGCTTGCTGTCTCGGTGACTTGTACCTCGCGTCTACTTTTATTCTTACATGTTAGCCTTAAATGTAGAAAATTAATCAGTTTACGCACGGTTTTTTGATAGATGTATACATGATATATAATTGTTTTGATATCTAACCTTCTGAAATATTCAACATGGATTCCCATATCTTATACCGAAAACAAATTAGTAGTCAAAAAGAGTCGAAAGTTATCAAGGGGACATTCAAAGCTCATAATTCGAAGAGAAACTGACAACGTCGTTACAAAAAACAAACAAGTCTATAAAACACAACATAGAACACTTAAGACTGAGGAAAACGAAATCCACCAAAACCCAGGGGTGATTTTAGGTATTCCGGTAGATTTCTCAAGATGTAAAATCAGATGCATTAGTCATATCACAGGTTATGTTAGAGAGATTGATTAATAACGGCTTGATGACGTTTTGTTTGGCATGAAAATAGTTTATTTTGAAAAATAAAAAGGTAATTAGGCCGTTAGTTTTCTAGTTTGAATTGTTTTACATGTCATTCCGGGGCCTTTTATAGCTGACTATGCGGTATGGGCTTTGCTAATTGTTGAAGGCCGTACGGTGACCTATAGTTGTTAATTTATGTGTCATTTGGTCTCTTGTGAAGAGTTGTCTCATTGGCAATCATACCACATCTTCTTTTTTATATAACATCTGCCAAAATATTAGACAGTTTGTGAAATACTATTTTATGTTATAAAATGATTTCATTTAGAAATTAAGAAATAAAACATGCAGCTTTGCTTTAAGTATTATAGTTTAAAACAGGTCTCAATCGAATAGAATTTTATATAAAAAAAAGCATTATGATAGCATGGTTCTAAGTACCCATCTTGAAATGGCTTGATAATAACTGTTTCGATATTTTAATGAACTAATGAAGCAAACATTATAAAACATGCAAATTATTCCACCAATTATTTCAGTTCCACATGAGGTATCTGTTGAACCTATGATACTCATAATGGCGGCTGAAGAGAATAACAACGATTTAGAATCATTCAAGGCTGACGTTTTACTAGCAGTGCCACAAAGTGTTACAAGGAGCAACATACATGAGATAGTAATTGAAAGCAACATCACTAATGTATTTCTTAATAGAACTGACAATCAAATACAGAAGGCAGTCCTACTATTTATTCTGGTGTCTGAAGGTTTTGCAAAACGTTGCTGGCCTGATATCTCCAAAATGAAAAAACTCACTGATGCATTATATGATCAACAACCATTAGTTGTCCCTGTAATAATTAAAGCTACTGTCAAACCTCCAATGGGATTAAATTCAGCTCACTCTCTTTGCTTTTATAGACGTGACCTCTATTATAAGGAAGCACTTTCAAAGCTTCTTGGACAGTTTAAGGAATAGTTTACTTTCTCTGCTTGTATCATACTGTATTGTTTTTCAATTGTTTCCCCGTTTCATTTATTTATAAAAATAATTGAACTTACCTTTTTCCGGCAATCAATTATATATGCCACTCAAAGGGTATTTTTGTTCAATTTTTACAAGTGAAGCCACAGAAGGCAACATCATAGCGGCAAATATTAACATAGAATGCAGCCAATAATGCATTGAGTGAGTTCCTATGGCAAATTACAATTTCCAAATCAAGAGAACTTTAAGAAATTACAAAAGACGAATCAAGAGAACGTCTATAAAAAATTGGGACAAACTACTGTCAACCTGGGAACAGTATATCTAATATATATGTTCCTGTGTCAACCAACCTATTTTCGCGAATACTTTATTTCGACATCGCAACGATTTTTTTTTCTCGCGATTTTCAAGTTTTCTTGATATATTTATATTAGGGAATACTCATAATCACGACGACTTATATTTGCGTTATTTTTCCACTCACAAAAAAACATTAGTGCAACGATTGTACGATAACATTTGCTACCTTGAATTGTATACGTTTCAGTGTAAAATATGCATATGCACGGAAGAAAACTTATGAAAATAGACAAAATGCGAACAAATTTGTAAATTATAATATAGTGTGTTAGTAATGGTATCTTAACTTGAATTATTAAATGCAAATTTCTGCTATAAGTCATTTTAGTGAAGTACAGATATTTCATTTTGTGACTTAACGAATATGGACATGATTAATAAATGTATTTGCCTTTAATGTCATAATCTCATTAAGTTCTGCTATTTGAACTCCACAATAAATATCTGTTCGCAACTGTGCCACTTTCCATATGATTGCATTTTATCAAAGGTCACACAAATATGAAAATACCTACTGTTATAAATAACTTAATATCAATAGATGAATGGTGTATGCCAAATACAAAGTCATATTTCTCCAAAAAGTGTTAATGTAGTTTCCAAAATCCATAATTTTGTAACGAATAGAGATATTAACATAAAATTTTGAAAGAGAGTTTCTGTTATGATCTTGTTAAGATATACGAAGTTTTGAAATATTTGCTTTAACACACAAGTAGATAACTTTTTCCGGATAAGACCCTTTTGAAATTCTGTCATTTTTCATTCAATGAATCACTAGGAGGTTTTGATGTCTGTATCCTTGAGCGGCTGTCTCATTGCCATACATTCGACCTCTCATTTGCATTTCCGTCGTCATCTGTGAAACAGATATTCCATAACGATCAACCAACACGTGATGGCGTCCGTAACTTTTGGTTCAATAACCTCCTTGTTAACCCCCTTATCAAGGAAATCATCATAGGAAATGCAAGCTCTGGAATATCGTATCAACTAGGAGATATATGCTCATTATGCAGGAGAGGCTGGAATGTTGCTTCATATAAATGAAAAGTTCATAATTGGAAAGTTGAAATCATCTCTTTTATCGTAAAGTACTAGTATTCTTCTCAACCGACCCTCGTTGTCAATTTCGAGATGATAGTCAAAAAATGAGGCAGACATAACTGTATCTGTCAATAAAATTTTGAAAGAGAGTTTCTGTTATGATCTTGTTAATATATATGAAGTTTTGAAATATTCGCTTTAACACACAAGTAGATAACTTTTTCCGGATAAGACCCTTTTGAAATTCTGTCATTTTTCATTCAATGAATCACTAGGAGATTTTGATGACTGTGTCCTTGAGCGGCTGTCTCATTGCCATACATTCGACCTCTCATTTGCAAAAGAATATGTTGTAAATAACTATTTGAAAGTTGTATTCAATTAAATGGCACATAATGATATAATATACATGTGATAATGATGTATTGTAAAAATAAATTGAAATAAAAAATGTCAATGCATAGTACATGTAATTTTTTCCGTTTAATTCAAAATGTATGTATAAGCCACTACTAAGCTGGACAATTGTATGCAAAGTACAGGAGCTCCTTTCTTTGTTTTTGTTTGAATTTGGTTTGAATGTCACCATAACAAGTGATAAACTACATGTGTTATTCTTTTGATATGTGATCTTTGATAGAGTATGTTTAATTTATTTACAACTTTTTCACAACTGAAGGAGATTTAGAGCTTGATATATCGTGAAAGCACATTTTTATTTTTGAAGCTTGTTGGTTGAACTTTCCACCATTTTCTACATAAAGAAATGCCTGTACCAAGTCAGGAATATGACAGTTGTTTTCCTTTCGTTTGATGTGTTTGAGCTTTTCATTTTTCCATTTGATAAGGGACTTTCCGTTTTGAATTTCCTTTGGAGTTTGGTATTTTTGTTATTTTACTTTTTAGTTGTCGTTTCAACGTTTGTTTCGTTAGGTGCTCTCTAATTGATTTAAAATCCGCATATCCATTTATTCATATCATGTTATCTGATTATTCCTGGACAATCAAGCTTATAAAAAAATAGTAAATATGACTAGTGACCAAATGACTTAGAAGTTTCAACTATAGATAATCCTATCTCCTTCAAAAATGAGCAAACCCGTACCGCATAGCAAGCAATAAATGGTCCCGAGATGGCAATTGTAAACCAGTTCAAACGAGAAAACTAACGGGCTGATTTATGTACAAAACAATAAAAAAAAACAAATCTGATATATAGCAACTATCGCCAATCACTGTATTACACTCTCCTGACTTGGGACAGGCACATAGAGAATGTGGTTAAACATGTTTGCGGGCACCCAACCCTCCCCCTTACCTGGGACATTAGTGTAACAGCATTACATAAGAACACACTATAAAAATCAGTTGAAAAGGATATATTTAATTCATCAGATCGATACAAAGCAACATCAGCTAACAAAAATATAACGTCATTAGTTGTCAGAGAAATAATGACCATATGCAAGGTTGGTTTCAAAGTTCAAGAAACCTTTGCTTTTTGTCCGATTTTTGAAGCTTCCATTTGTTTCATGCGCTCTGTATATATCTATTTCATATCAAAACATTCTTCTTCTCAATCTCAAGTGTTGGCCATAATCTCCCGTTGGGTATTTATTTTTAAAATTATCAGAATTGTGGCTGCCACGGCTAAAATAGATCAAAGAGAGGCAAAAGATACCAACTGGATATTCAATCTCATAAGTCGAAAAAAAAAAACGACGAAAAAATAAATAACAGTACACAAAGCAAAACATAGAAAAATAAAGACTGAGCAACACGAACCCCATCAAAAACCGGGGTTATTTCTGGTGCTCCGGAAAGGTAATCAAATCCTGCTCCACATGTGGTACTCCTCATGGTACTCGTGAAAATATAAACCCGGTGATAAGTCTATTTCGGTACATCATATTCGAGAAAAAGAGGACGGAATAGTGGTTACGGTAATTGGAACATATCCGTCGTCATCTGTGAAACAGATATTCCATAACGATCAACCAACACGTGATGTCGTCCGTAAAATTTGAACTTTTGGTTCAATAGCCTCCTTGTAAACCCCCTATCAAGGAAATCATCATAGGAAATGCAAGCTCTGGAATATCGTATCAACTAGGAGATATATGCTCATTATGGAGGAGCGGCTGGAATATTGCTTCATAGAAATGAAAAGTTCATAATTGGAAAGTTGAAATCATCTCTTTTGTCGTAAAGTACTAGTATTCCTCTCAACCGACCCTCGTTGTCAATTTCGAGATGATAGTAAAAAAATGAGGCAGACTTAACTGTATCTGTCAATTGTATCCTGTATTCAATGTCCGATGGGATAGATGCGTTCAACATAGTCACCAAACTTTGAATTATTTAGTGAGAGGTCATTATCTATATAGCTCCTGTGTGAAGTCAGCCTCATATGAAAAAGGAACAAGTCGGCAAGAAGAGGAGCACAGTTAGTTCCCATGGGAATGTCTATGGTTTGTTCATAACACATTCTGCTAACGTAACAAATATGTTGTAAATCAAGAAATCAAGCATCTTAAAATGTCATTTTCAGAGAATTTGTTGTTTGGATCAGAGTGATTTTTCACAAAGTACGATTTATCCCCCCTAAGACAAGATACTTGTATCTACGTTGGCTATTCTTTTCTATGAATTTAAGCAGGGCCAATTATTTCAATTTGTCTTTTAGTTTGGAATGGGGAATACTTGTGTAAAGGGTAGAAAAGTCAATTGTTTGAAAGAGACTTAGATCGTATGTATTCTGACAGATCTTTGAAATTTTTTAGTATCCACATCTGATTCATGCCCCCCTGGAGTAGGTAGTTTCACAATAACGTTGATGTCCGGCTTTGATTGGTGAAAAAAAAATGATGTTTATAATATAGAAAGATGTTTAGTGGCGAACTTGAAAGAACCAGCCATATAACGTTGTTTTTAAAAGAGAGGCGAAAGATACCATAGGGACATTCAAACTCATAAGTCGAAAATAAACTGACAACGCCATGGCTAAAAAAGAAAAAGACAAACAGACAAATAACAGTACACAAAACACAACGTAGAAAACTAAAGACTGAGCAACACCAACCCTACCAAAAACTGGGGGTGATCACAGGTGCTCCGGAAAGGTAAGCAGATCCTGCTCCACATGTGGCACCCGTCGTGTTGCTCATGTTAGTACCAAACCCGGTAATAAGTCTAATTCGGTAGGTCACATTCGGGGAAAAGGGGACTGGATTGTAGTTATGACAATAGGAACATAACCGCTATCATCTGTGAAACGGATATTCCATAACTGTCAACCAACTCGTGGTGCCGTCCGTAAAATTTACGAAGGAATGATTTCAACTTCACCACTTGGAACTCTTGGTTTAATAGCTTCCTTGTGGGCAGCAACCATCTATCAAGGAAATCATGATAGAAAATACAAGCCTTGGAATATTGTATCAAATGTGAGATATATACTCTGTATGCAGGCGCTGCTGGAATGTCTATACATAGAAATGGAAAGTTCATAATTGGGAAGCCGAAATCCTCTCTTTGTCGTAAAGTTTTGTGTTCAACCGACTCTCATGGTCAATTTTAGATGTAAGTCAAGATATGAGGCAGCCTTAACTGTATCTGTATACTTTATCTCAGGTTCGATGGGATAGATGTGTTCAACATAGTCACCAAATTTTGACTTATTTAGTGAGAGAACATCATCTATATAGCGGAAATTAAAGTTAAAGGATACTGCTAACTTCTTTTCTTTCTTTCTAAGAAGTTCCTGTTTGAAGTCAGCCTCATATGAATAAAGGAGCAAGTCGACAAGAAGAGGAGAACAGTTGGTTCCCTCGGGAATGCCGGTTGTTTGTTGAAAAACACGTCCTCCAAACGTAACAAATATATTGTCAATCAAGAAATCAAGCATCTTGAAAGTGTCAGTTTCAGAGATTTTTTTGTTTGAATCAGAGTGGTTTTTTTACGAAGTAGGATTTATCCCTCCCAAAGACAAGATACTTGTATCTGCGTTGGCCATTCTTTTTTATGTAACAAAACAGGATCAACTCTTTCAATTTGTCTGTTAGTTTGTAATGGAGAATACTTGTGTAAAGTGTAGAAAAGTCATACTATTGCAAGATGAAAGAGTCTTAGATTTTTGGAATTTTTTGTAGAAGTTCAAATTTGGAATGTAAGTAGTGCTGAATGCTTTGAACAATATTACCTATATATAGACCCAAGTTGAAATTTCAAAATGGCGGCTTTATCCAAGATGGCCGCCATAAGATATCAAAATCAACAAATATCCCTTATACAAGGTTACAAAGTGTTTTGTTTTGACTACCTAAAGTAAAATTAAGTGCCCTATGATACCAAGTGTATGCCATATTTTTATACTTAAGCCAAACATCAAACGATTTGTAAAGATAGTATAGAAATCGTAACTGCTGTACCATCCTTGGAGAAATGTAGTCTACAACGAGGGATCACGTATATATAATGTCGTTATTCCAATATTTAAGCTAGACTTAACTAGAAAAAAAAACTTCTCGACTCGAACAGTTTTCTTTATGATCAGGTGGAAAAGGATATAATAATAATCTAAACAAATTTGCAGTAATTTGAGGCTTGTCGTGCCATTAACAAGGCAGTTGCTTACTTCTTCTGTTTAATGACTATGTGTGTGTTGCAATTAAACAGGCAACCGCAACAATCTACTTGTATGTCAATGATACGTAAATAAACTGCACAATACAGTTTCTGTGGATTCATTATTATTCGTGCAGACTTCGGCAAAACCACGAAATTAAATATCCACGAACATGCAAGTTTTCCTTAATCCACGAAAATTGGTACCCACGAAAATAAATGAATCCACAGTATATCAAAAAGACATGACCCAGGCAAAAGTCTGTTCCACAGTCTTCAAAAACATTATTAGTTGATTATCGTTTTGGCAAATATTCAGATGCAGTCGAATTGTTCAATTGAGGCAAATACGACGCTATCCATTTCGAAGTTGCTTCTGTTTTATTCTTTTTTAATACTATATTCAATTCAACTAGAACCATCTCTTAATGTATAAGACCTTTCTACTGGATGCTAGGACCAGTAAAGGAGGTAAAAAATGACAAAATTTACAGTTTACGTTTGTTGTTTATGAATGGTCCAATTATCCATTTATCTACAGTATTAGAAGATTCCATCTATGAAGCATTCAGTATAGAAAATGTGGATCCTTCCGCGAATCCAGGTGGTTTTACAACAGCAGCCGTGTGCAATATTGACAACAACAGGAGTTCAACTACGGTTAATGAATCGTCACATACAGGACGAACATTTCCATATTTCAGCATTATTTAAGTCTAACTTGACTAATTCGTCATAACCTAATGCTTTGAAATATATGCATTTCTCTTATATTCTCTCATTCTTTAACCAATATATTACGCACCAGCACAACTGTTCGTATAATTGCTATAACTTAGTAACTAATAATATTAGTGAAGAATAAGATATATCCTAGCACTAGCTAAATATAACCATGCCTTTCATACTTACATCTAGTAA